CTTNNGTTTCCCACCCCCCCCCCCCCCCCGCCTCCCGGCGCGCGCGATGGTCGGCGAAGCCAAGACGTACGTCTCGTTCGACGTCGGCGATAACCTGCGCCCCATCCCGGACCTCCCGAGATTCGACACCGTGCGGTACGACTACTCCGCCGCGCCGGACATCACGCGACTGTTCGTGTTCAAGCTCGTGAAGGGGAAGTTCTTCGTCGGGCGGACGAAGAAAGACGTCGAGCACGAGCTGTCGCGGCACCGCGCCGGGGACGGCCACCCGTGGTCCGCGAAGTTCCCGCCCGTGCGGGGGGACGACGCGACGTACTTCTCGACGGAGATATCGCACAACGCGGAGGAGGACGCGATGACGGAACGGCTGATGCACGAGTTCGGCGTCGAGAACGTCCGCGGCGGGACGTACAAGCAGATGACGCTGCCAGAGCACCTGGAGAAGACGCTGAACGACAAGTTCCGTTGCTGGGAGGACGAGTGCTTCGTGTGCAAAAAGGTTGGGCACTTCTCGCGGCAGTGCCCGGACTGGGAGACGCGAATCGTCGACGCGGAGAAGAAGGCGAACGAGTTCTCGGACAAGTTCGACATCGGCCTGTCGCTGCTTCCGGGCGCGAAGACCGCGGCGCAGAGAGAGCTGCGCCCGTGGACCACGGAGGAGAACACCGCGTTGAAGCTCGCGCTCGAGAGCGGGTTGTACTCGATCAAACAGATCGCGACGCGGCACAACCGAACGGAGGGGGAGATTCGACTCCGTAAGCAGGAGCTGGGTCTGGGGCAGACGTTCAACACGATGAACCCGCAGCTCGCGAACGTGTTCATAAACAAGGCGGTGGATCGACGGCTGATTCACAACACGATGCACTGATCGACGACGCGAGATCACGTGCGCCGTCTGTAAAATACCAACACTATCTTATAGCCGCGTCGGTCGTAGCGTAGGAATGTAAGTAGAGAACGACGAAATGACGTCGTTCGTTGTCACCGTCGCGAGTCCCTGGAGTCGTAAGGCCGCGAATCCCTCGGGTCGTAGTCGCGCTCGTCGTCGTCCCTACGACGATCCCGGTCCCTGCTCCGGTCCCTATCGCGCCTGCGTTTCTTTTCCTTCCGCTCCCGTTCCCGTTCCCGACTCCGACTCCGACTCCCGCGCCCGCCGCTCCGGTCGCGGTCGCGGTCGCGGTCGCGGCGCCGCTCTCGTCGCCCGCCGCTCGCGCTCCGACTCGCGCTTCGATCGCGCCGGCGGCTTTTTCCGTCCCTTCCTCGATCGCGTCCGCGGTCGCGAGATCGATCGCGGTCGCGATCCTTCTCGCGGTCTCTGCTCCCGTCGCGGCCGCGGTCTCGGTCTCGGTCTCGGTCTCTGTCTCTGTCTCTGTCTCTGTCCCGCGTCCTTCGGTCGTCCCCGCCCGGCGCGTGCGAGTCCCTCGCGTCCCGTCCCCGTCCCCCGCGCGACGCGTCCGCCGCCGCCGCCGCCCTCCCGCCGCCCTCCCCGCGCCCTCCCCCTCCTCCTCCTCCTCCTCCTCCTCCTCCTCCTCCTCCTCCTCGCGACGCGTCTCTCGGGTCCCAGTGCCCGGGAAGCCGCTTCTCTCGGTACGACAGCAGCCGCGCGCCGAGCTCGTCCCTCAGCTCCCTCAGGCGCTTCCACCCCAGGTACTGCTTCCCGTGTAAGTGCTCCTCGCGCCGCGACTCGTTGTCCTGCGCGCTGAGCAGCACGCCGCTGACCGTGCACGCCGTGAGTCCCGCTTGCGGCTTGAGTCGATTCAACACGAGCTCGCGCGAGCTCTGCAGGGATTCGATCTTCGACAACTCCGCCTGCGCGCCGTCGACGTCGCCTTCCTCGCCGAGCGCCTCCGCGCGCGCGCTGATCTCCTTGATCTGCTCGCTGTACTTGTCCAGGACTTTCTGCTCCTCGGGCGTGAACGCCCTCGTCGGGACTTCGCGCGCTTGCTCGCACCGCGCGACGCTCCTCGCGACGCGACGATCGCACTCGAAGATGAGGCGGTCGAGCAACCGCTTCGTCTCGCGCTCGTACGGGTACTTCGCGCGCTCGTCGTCCGGGAGCGCCTCCCACGCCGCTCTCATGTCGTCGTCCTTTCTCTTGCCCGCGTCTTCGGGGAGCACGTGCCGCGAGACGTCCTCCGCGCTCTTCGTGTTCTTGAAGACGTCGAGGTCGAAGCCGCAGATGTAGTACTTGCAGACGTCACGATCGGAGAACTGCCGCGCGCGGTTCGAGCGCTCCTCGGGGAGGACGTCGCGCTCCTCGCCCATGAGCTCGTTCAGGAGCTTGGAGAAGTCCGTCATCGCGCCGTCGAGCGGTTCCGAGCCCGCTGCCGCTGGCCGTCGCCGCCGCCTCTGAATGATGAGATCGCGACGAATTCGCGATCGGTCATCACTTCGATCGCGCTCGCGTCGCGTCGCGCGTCGTCCCGTCCAACTTTTTTTCTCGGTGTCAAACGAACCTCACTCTCCGAGGCGCCACAGGGAGCCGCCGCGAGCGCGGGGTATCGGTCGAACGCCTCGCCGGGCTCGATCGCGACGCGCGCTGGCGGCGAATCCCCTCCCCGCGCGCCAGAAGCGGGGCGTCGCGCCCGTCCTCGTCGCGCTCGAGACCGCGCGCGCGCGTCGTAAATTTCAACTTCTTCGCTGACGAGGCGTTCGCTCGCTCCTCGAGATGCGGACGCGCAGCGGCCTGGACACGGCGAAGCGCAAGCGCGATGACGCGGCCGACGCGCCCGTCACGCGAGCGATGGCGAAGAACCAACCGGAGAGGAAGTCGCGAGGGGGAAACCCGCCGCGACGATGCGAGAAGCCGGGCAGGTGACGCGTCGCCCTCGTCCCGTGAGAGCTGTCATTCGTTCGCTCTCGGGCTGCGCTCGGCTTTCGCGTCCTGTCTGACACCACCCGCTCCCCGCTCCCTATCCATCGCAGCGCCGCGGAAACGCGTGAACACGTCGCGGTCGCGCGCCACCCCGCGACCGCGCTGAAGTTCCTGCGTCAGCGCGAGCGCGGGGAATTCACGACGCCGCGTCGATACCGGTGCGAGGCGTTCGCCCTCGGACGAGATCCCGCGACGTTCTTCGTTTACGTTTCCTTCCTCTGACGACTGCGGGGAAAAAAAGACTGACGACCGTGACCGTCCCCCGCGACCGCCGCCGTATCGACCCCGCACGCAGAGAAACCGCGGACGCGTTCGCGACGCGCGCGCCGTACGCGCTGACCGAACGCACGCTCCCGACGCGCACGCTCCAACAGTTCGACAAGTGCTTCGCCGCGCGGTGGCTCACCGACGCGCTCGTCGCCGTCGGCACCAAAGACAACAAGCTCGCCGTCGTCGACGTCGCCGCCGGGGACGCGACGCTCGTGCCGCTCCCGAGGCGTCTCCCGCGGCGCCGGCTCGCGCCGTCGCACCAGAACGGCGGCGCCGTCGCGCCGGTGTTCTCGCCGTCGCGCGCGCTCGAATCTGGCCCCGGGCGCGTCGCGCCGGTTCCGCCGTCGTTCGGCGGCGCGGCGCGGCGGACGGCGAGGACGCGCGCCGCGGACAACTGCGGCGTGCACGCGCTCGCGTTGAACCCGTCGCGGGCCCTCTTCGCGACGGGCGCGGACGACCCGAGAGATGTCGCGGTGTTCGCCTCCCCGACCGCGCGGTGCGTCGCCGTCATGCCGGGGCACCTCGACTGGGTGTTCGGCCTCGATTGGATCGCCGACGACGTCCTCGCGAGCGGGAGCAGGGACGCCACGGTGAAGCTGTGGCGCGTGCCGAGCCCCGACGACGACGACGACGACGACGATGACGACGACGACGACGACGATGACGACTCGGGCGACGACGACTACGACGATGATGGGGTCCGTCGCGAACGCTCCTCGTACGCGCAAGTCGCGGAGCCGATCACGACGATCCTGGACCACACCGAGAAGGTGCGCGACGTCAAGTACTGCGCAGACGTCGGGCGGCTCGCGAGCGCGTCCACCTCCGGCGAGGTCGTCTTCTCGGACCCGAACGCGTTGTGCCGCGGCGGCGTCGAGATGTTCGTCGAGGGCGTCGGCGCGAGGGCGCGCACGCGTCGGAAAGAGGCGATGTGTCTGGCGACGGATGGCAAGACGATCGCGCTCGGATCGCAGCGGCACGTCACGCTGTTGGATCCGCGCGACGCGTCGTCGCGGCGGGACGCGAGGCTCGTGAACGGCAGCGTGGACGGCGTGCGGTCGCTGTCGTTTCGCGGCGACGGGAAGCTGCTCACGTGCGGCGGCGGCGGCGGCGCGATCACGTTTTTCGACGTCCGCGCGGGGAAATTTTTGCCCCCGGAGGCGTCGCTGGCGGCGGGGGCGGCTCTCCCGGCGTTGGTAGACTTCAGGACGAGCTCGGCGTCGTCCACGCCGGAGGTTTCCCCGAGAGCGTCGCCTCCGAGACGATACGCGCCACGATATATGCCCACGATCACGGATCAGATCGACGACTACACCATTTTCAGGTCGGATGCGTTCATGGGGGGCACGGATCAGGTCGACGACTACACGTTCCCGGTGTATTGCCCGGCGGCGGCGTTGCGGTTAGAGATGACGAGAGGGTGGCTCGACCGCGAGCACCACGTGTACTTGGAGTACTTCCAGCACGAGCCGACGCCCGCGAACGCGTGCTACGCGCACGAGTGGGATTCCACGGGGACGCGGCTGTTAGTCGCGGGCGGGCCGCTCGCGTTCGGTTTGAGAGGGTGCTACCTGGGGGTGTGGAGCTAAACGGAAGAAGGGGGAGCCGTCGTCGTCGTCGTCGACGACGACGACGTCGACGACGACTACGGGAAAAGAAGACGTCGCGCGGCGGCGCCTCCGCGACGCGCGCTGAAACGAAGACGACGCGACGACGTGACGTACGATGTACCAACGCGATTCAGTACTACCTACCCACAGTACGCGTGCAGTCGCACGACGCGCCGCGCCTACAACGCGCTTCTCGACCGCGGCGGCGGCGCGTCCTCGGTCTCTCGCAACCAGGTCGATAACGCCTCGTTAGTCGCCGACGCGTGCGTGACGAGGAACCAGTGCCCGGCGCCTTCCACGGCGACGACCTTCCCGCCCGCGGGGTTCTCGCGGACGTCCTTCAGCCACCGATCCCCGTGGAACCGCGCGGGCTTGTCCGTCCCGTACATGTACAGCGTCGCGCACGACGGCACGCGCCTCGACGAGGCGTCGCCTATTCGACGCTCATCCGCCGACGTTTTTTCCTCATCTTCGCCGCCGCCGCCGCCGCCGCGCAGTCTCTCCCTCCAAAACGCCGCGTACGGCCAGTTCAACGCCGCGCTCACCGTCCTCCTCCCGCCCTCGCCGCGCCCTCCGACCCCCGGCGCGCCCGCCGCTCTCGCGAACGTCGTCGTCATCCAATCGCCGACGGCGCCGCCCGCCTGATGCGCGGCGATCAGCCACGCCTGATACGCGACGATCCACGCCCTCTCTCTCCGCGTGAGCCCGTCCACGTCGTTGCCGACGTCTAACACCGCGACGCGCCGCACGAGCTCCGGGTGTTTCCGCTGCAGTCGGTACGTCACCACGCAGCCCCAGTCGTGCGCGATCACGGTCGCCGGCGGGGTCGTCGTCGCGCGCATCGTCGACGCGACGTCCTCCACCGCGGCGTCGAAGTTCAAGTTCATCCTCCCCGCCGCGGTCGCGCCCGCGCGCGCGTCGTCCGGGGGGTACCCCGGCAGCGGGATCGACACGCATCGGTAGCCCTCGCGAGCGAGCGCGTTTGTCTGCGAGTCCCACAGCGCGGGGGAGTCGGGCCAGCCGTGCAGGAACACGAGCGTATCGCGGGCGGGCGCTTCCGGCGACGATGCCAGCAGCGTCGGCTCGACGACGACGGAGGGGAGGACGCGGCCCATCGCGCGCGGCGCGCCCGCGCGTCGTCGGCGCGCGCGCGCGAGCGGAGTGAGCGGAGCGAGCGGGGCGATGACAGCCGGCGCGGACGCCCGCATGGGCGCGCGCGCCTCGGAGTGTCCCGTCCGTCGCGTCGGGGTAACAACGCAGATCTGCATCTGTCGGAAACGACGACGACGAGGACGGCGTCGAAAAATAATGTCGGCGCCGCCGCGCGCCGCCGCCGCACAGCTCCAGCGCGCGTCGTCGTCCCCTTCCCCCCCCAAACCGCGCGCCCCCTGCGCGTCGTGGCGCCGCCGCCGCCGCGAAGAGGAGGACCATGGGCGAAGAGGAGACGGCCCCGGGCCCAACGCGGCGCGACGCGGAGGGCCCGCGGTTCTCCGCGCTGCGTCCGTCGCTGCGCCCAGAGTCGCTCGAGGTGCTCCGCTCGCGGGGCTTCGAGCGCGCGACGCCGGTGCAGGCCGCGGCGATCGGCCTCCTCGCGGGGAACAAGGACGTCGCCGTGGAGGCGTGCACCGGGAGCGGGAAGACGCTCGCGTTCGTGCTCCCGCTCGTGGAGATCCTGTCGCGCGCGGAGTCGCGGTTCAGGCCGCATCAAGTGGGCGCCGTCGTCGTCTCCCCGACGCGCGAGCTCGCGAAGCAGATCTTCGACGTCGCCGCGCCCTTCTTGCGCACGATCCCGAGGACGTCGCCGCCGATGCTCCTCGTCGGCGGCACGGACCCAGCGCGCGACGTCCGAGGATTCGACGACGACGGCGCGTGCTGCCTCGTCGGCACGCCGGGGCGGCTCGACGACGTCATGATTCGCGCCAAGACGATGGACCTCAAGCGCGTCGAGCTTCTCGTGTTGGACGAAGCGGATCGGCTGCTGTCGATGGGGTTTCAGAAGACCCTGAGCGCGATCATCGGGAGGCTGCCGAAGCAGCGGAGGACGGGGCTGTTCAGCGCGACGCAGACGGAGGAGGTGGAGGAGCTCGCGCGCGCGGGACTGCGCAACCCGGTGCGGGTGACGGTCAGGTGCGTACAGCTGTTCTGTGCGGCCGTTTTTCTTCATTCACCCACCGCTCGGTTTCAACGTTCGATCGCGTCCCCTTTCGACTGACCGATGAACGTTTTCTTCATCCCTCCCGGCGTCGCCCTCATCAGAGACGCGGCGGCGCAGGCGGCGGCGAACGCGGCGGCCGCCGCGGGCGCGCCGCCGTCCTCCGCGGCCGCGCGAGGGAAGCTCCCGTCGCAGCTGAAGCTGACGTACGAGACATGTCACTACGACGAGAGGCTGTGGCGGCTGAAGACGTTCCTGAGCGAGAAGTTGCGCGCAGACGCGAAGGTCATCGTGTACTTTCTCACGTGCGCGTGCGTGGATTACTACCACACCGCGCTGAGCGCGGGCGGGCCCGCGGATCCGTTGGCCGGCGACGATGACGATGGAGTGAGGCCCGCCGCAGGCGCGACCGACGCCGTCGTCGCGCTGCACGGGAAGATGAAACAAGCGCAGCGCGAAGCCGCGCTCTCCGCGTTCGCGGCGACGACGACGGGCGCGTGTTTGCTGTGCACCGACGTCGCCGCGCGGGGTCTGGACATCCCGGGCGTGGACTGGGTGATTCAGTTCGACGCGCCGCAGGACCCGGCGGCGTTCGTGCATCGCGTCGGGAGGACCGCGCGGATGGGACGGGAAGGGAGCTCGTTGCTGTACGTGTCGCCGCACGAGGAGAGTTACCTCGAGTTTCTCAGGGTGCGGCACATTAAGGTCGAGCCGTCGCCCGCGATGCTCGGCGAGGAGAAGGAAGAGGAGGAGGTGGTGGTGGTGGATGGAGGAGGAGGAGGAGGAAGACGACGACGACGCGGACGCGGAGATCGACGGCGTCGCCGCCGTGGACGAGCTCGCCGCGGCGTTGGACGGATTGGACGACGACTTCAGCGACGAGGAAGAAGAGGAAGACGAAGACGAAGAGGAAGAGGAAGAGGAAGAGGAAGAGGAGGAAGCGGAGGAGGAGGATGACGCGCCCGACGAACCCGCGCCGCCCGCCGCGCCGCCTCGCGAGTCCCCCGAGTCCGCGGAGGGCGGCCGCGCCGTCTGCGCCGCGCTCCGCGCGCACTCGGAGAAGAACCGAGAGGCGATGGAGAAGGGCGTGCGCGCCTTCGTGTCCTACGCGCGCGGATACAAAGAGCACCACTGCCGGTTCATCTTCCGCTTCAAAGAGCTCCCGCTCGCGAGGCTCGCGCGCGCGATGGGCCTGCTGCGGCTGCCGCGCATGAAAGAGATCCGCAAGGCGTCGAAGGCGTCCCTGGCCGGGTTCGAGGAGTCGAGCGTAGACCCGGACGGCGTCCCGTTCGCGGATAAGGCGCGGGAACGACAACGCGTCCGCGTCAACGCGGAGGCGGCGGCGGCGCGCGCGGCGAACCCGGACGCCGAGCGCGCGGACGGCAGCAGGAGAGAGCGAGAGCGACGGAAGCGCGAGGAAGCGATCGCGGCGGCGGAGAAGGCGAACGGCGAGAAGAGGATGACCGCGGCGAAGCGGCGGCTGCTCGAGAGCAGGGAGGACGTGGACGACATCAACGACGACTACCGCGCGCTGAAGAAGCTGAAGAAGGGGAAGATATCCGAGGAGGACTTCGACCTCGAGCTCGGGTTCGAGCAGCCCGTCGGGGCGGCGAACGGCGGGATGCGAGGCGGCGGCGGCGGCGGCGGCGGCGGCGGCGGAGGGAAGCGAACGGCGGAGGCGAAGGGCGCGCTCCACGGCGCCGCGTTGAAGGCTTCGATGAAAAAGGAAAAGCCGAAGCCGCCGCGGCACATCAAAAACTCGCGAGGCAAGGGCGGCGGGCGCGGCGCGAAAGCGATGAAGAAGAAGAAGTTCGCGAAGAAGTGATGGGATCAGCAGTAGTGCACGCGTAGTCTATATCGTGCTGTGGTTTCAAAGTATGATGGCACGGCGCCTACCGAGGCGCCCGCGCCCTCGCCTTCTTCACGTTGTCTACGGCCGTCGTCGCCGCTTCCTCTCTCGCCATCCCCCCCAAGACGAGCTTTCTGAACTCCGCCTTGAGCTCCGCTTCTTGGGCCTCGTACGCGGCTTTCACCTCGTCCGAGAGCTCGACCTTCTTCGCTCGAGGCGGCGCCGGCGGCGCCGCGGGTTCGATCTCGTCTCGCGCCTCCTCCGCTTTCGCGGCCGAGACCGCGTCTCCGAGCTCTCCCCTCGCCGCCCTCCACGCGACGCTCCCGGTCTTGCGTCCCGGAAGCGTCTCCTGGTGGTCGCCCTCCCTCGACGTCGCGTTCGCGGCCGCGGCGGCGAGCTCGTCGTCCTCGTCCGCGTTTCTCTTCGCTTCCATCGCCGCCGCCGCCGCCGCCGCGTCCCCGTCGTCCGCTCCGTCCCCTCCGCCGCCGCCGCCGCCGCCGCCGCCGCACGCCGCTCTGACGCTCGCGCTCGCGTCCCTCAGCGCTCCCGCGAGCCACGCGTCGTCGCACGCGCGCGTCCTCGCCGCGACCGTCGCGTCGAAGTCGACGACGTACCGTCTGGTCACGTCCTTCACGCCGCCGCGTCCGAACGCGATCGCGTACGACAGTTTCTTCCCCCATCCCTTCTCGTACAACAGCGGCTGGTCGCACGCGTCCTCGCACGCGTCGCAGTGCAGCCACCGCCCTTGCGACGCGCTGAACACCTCGCACCAGACGTGGTCCTCCCAGTCGATGACCCACCGCGTGTCGTACCCGAGCGCGACGCACAGCTGCGCGAACGCGTTGGCGAACTCGCCGCAGCGTCCGCGTCGCGTCTCGAGCAGCTTCGACGCGTCGTTGTACCGAGGGAACCGCGTCGTGACCGCGCCGTCGCACGTCGCGGAGGCGCACGCGTACGCCTCGACTCTGGACGCGCCGTGCGCGAGGTCATTCGCGGTCGGGGGCGTCATCCCGACGCAGGAGACGAGCTCGGGACCGGACGCGCCGCAGACGTCGCACGGCGGGGCGTCGCACCATCGGAAAAACTCGCGCTTGAACCATCGAAGCAGCCGCAGAAGCCGCGCGTCCTCGTGCGATATCTCCTTCGCGGCGGGCGACGGCGAGGGCGAGGACGCGTCCGCGGCCGCGGCGGCGGCGGCCGCGGCGGCGGCGCGCGAGGCCGTCACGAGCGCGCGCGCCTCCGCGTCGAGCCGGTCGAGCGGGACGACGCTCAGGGCGACCGCTTTCGCGAGATCGTCGTGATGCCTCGAGACCGTCTCCACGCCGCCTCGCAGCCGGGACGCGAACGCGGCGTGCACGTCGTCGTCGCGCGCGGACGCGGCCGCCGCGAGCGCGTTCTCTTCCTGCTGCAGCGACCGCGCGAGGAGCTCGTCCGCGTCCATCGCTCGCGCGACGCCGGGTCTGACGTCGTCGTCGTCGTCGCCCGCCTCGTCACCAGTTAACATTCCGACGCGACGGCGCGGCGCGAGATCTGCTGCACAGATCGACGCGCGCGGCCGCGCGGCCGGGGGGTCGTCTCGAACGACGCGATGCCGCCGTCGCGCGGCATCGTCGCGACGCGCGTGTGCTGGGTAGGCGCCTCGCGTCCTGAACCCTCCCTTCGACGACCCCCCACCCACCCACCCACCCACGGCGCGCCCCCGCGCGAACTCATTCGCTCGCCGTCGCGACCGACTCATCGCCGTCGCCCCCGTCGCCCCCGTCGTCGTCTTCCTCGTCGCAGGGCTGCGCGACCGCGATGGAGGTGGTCGGGAACAAGAGAGCGTTCGAGTGCGTCTGGTGCGAGGCGATCAACGAGACGAACCCGCGCCCGCGACGGCTCGCGATGCGACGACTCGGCGCGTGTCAGCGGTTCGCGAATCGCATCGTCGGACGCGTCGCCGTCGCGTGCGTCTCCGCTTCCGCGGCGTACGTGGGCGTCTGCGTGATCAAATACCTCGCGCCGTCGCTGTGCGGGAACAATCTGTTCGCGTACGCGTTCGTGGTGAAGCTCGCGCTGAGCTTGGAGTTCAACCTGTTCTTTAACTACTACCACTGCGTGTTCAAGCGCGCGGGCGTCGTGGACGGCGTCCCGGCGCCCGCGCGCGCGGATCTCGCGCGCCCGGCGCCCGATCGACCGTTACGGAAGATGGAACGTCAACCGCCGCGCTCGCTCGACGCCGCCATGGAGGAAGGGGTCCTCGACGACAACCTCAACGCGAGCGTCGCGCACGCGCGAGGGTGCTTCGCCGGGTGCACGCTGTGCGTCCCGTGCGGCGCCGCGAAGCCGCCGCACGCGCACCACTGCTCGGCGTGCGGCGCGTGCGTCGCGGGGATGGATCATCACTGTCCGTTCGTCAACAACTGCGTCGGCGCGGATAACATGCGGCACTTCCTTCTGTTTTGTCTGTACACCGCGCTGGGCGCGGGGTACGCGTTGGCGGTCGCGCACGCGTGCTCGATGAAGAACGAGGCGTCATGGGCGTCGTTCGCCGACGCGGCGACGGATAAGGACGCGATTCGCGACGGCTGGAACGACGCCAACGGCGCGACGAACGGCGCGGCGTCGACGGCGGTCGTCGACGGCACGTCTTCCGCCGCCAACGTGTTGCTCGCGATCGCGACCTGGACGCTGCTGTTGATACCGCGGTTGATCTCCGCGTTCGCGCACGCGCTCGACGTCGCGTTCGATTCCTCCCCGGATTGGATCGGCGCGTATTCCTTCGTCGTCCCAGGCGCGTTCTGTACACTGGTCCCCATACGACCCCGTTCGCGTGGTGAACGCCATTCCTTAAGGACTTTTCCCGGCGCATCTCTCCGCCCACCCCTCGCTTTCAATCCCCGCCCTCGACGCCTTTCAACTCCACCTGACGCCTTTCAACTCCACCCCGACGTTCGCTTGTATGGAACGACCCTACAGTCTGCGGCGTCGTGCTGTGCTTCAGCGGTCTTCTGTTCTTCACGACGTTCATGGCCGTCGCGTCGGGGGAGTCGTACATCGAGTCGTTGCACAGGAAGAGAAAGGGGCGGCGGGGGCGGGGGCGGGGGCGGGAGGAGGAGGAGGAGGAGGAGGAGGGGAAAGAGGACGGAGAGAGGGGGTCGGACGACGACGGCGGCGACGGCGGCGACGACGGCGGCGACGGCGGCGGATGCCGCGGATGCGTCGCGAGCGCGTTGGGCGCGATCGGGCTGAGGTGCCTCGTCGACTGGGGCGGGCTCGTCGCGCCGTGGAGCGAGGACGGGATGCACCACCTGCGGCAGGTGTTTGGGAGCGCGCACCCGGCGTGGTGGCTGGTGCCGAGGGCGAGCCCGCCGCCGGGGGCGCGAGGGAGTCTTCCCGCTACCAAGAGCGAGTGACGACTGGACTGGACGTCGCGGCGTCGCGTTCTTCTCTCGGTCGGTCTTTATTCATCGACACGCGCGCGTCTAGAGTATTGTAGGGATCGCGTTCGCGCCGCTCGCTCGCGTCGGTCGTCGTCCTTCGCGTCGCGTCGCGTCGCGTCGCGTCACGCCGCGGCGGACCGCGTCAGCTCCGGGAGCTCCTCGACGCCGTCGAGCGCGCGCACGAACATGAGGTAGGACACGACGGTGACTCGCTTCGCCTCCGCGTCGCGTATCTTCTGCGAGTCCTTGTCCTCCTCCTTCTTGCCCGTCTTCGGTTCGCCGCAGACGAGGACGTCGGTCTTGCCGCTGAGCGCGGCGGAGTAGACGCCGCCCGCGGCTTCCACCGCGGCTTTGAACTGGTCGCGCTTCATCGGGCGCGGCTCCGCGAGTATCCCGGTCACGGCGACCTTCAGAGCGCGTCCCTCGCGGAAGAGGACGCCGCCTCCCTCCTCCGCGGGCGTCTCCGCGGCTGGCGCTCTCTTCTTAGATCCTTTCGGCGGCATCGTGTGGGCGCGCGGACGCGCGAGCGAGCGAGGGTGGGCGTGTGCGTGCGCGGCGTTGGTCGCTGCGTCGCTGAGAGTGAGGACGAGCCGTCGTAGTCGAACGCGCGCATTCTCGGTCGAATCGACCAGACCTGACGACGACGCGGTTCTGTTGCGTTTTCATGTTCTACTGACCCTAGACTTCGACGCCTCAGTACCCGCCGTCGCGCGAGTTCGCGTCTAACTTCCTCAGTATCGCCGCCGCCGCCGCCTTCGGCGCGCCCTCTAACCCCTTCCTATACCGCCACTCCACCCGCAGCGTCCCCTCCGGCGTCAACTCCACGGCGAGCGGCGGGCACGCGTCGTCCGACCCGCCGCCGACCTTCTTCAGCTCGCACAACACGCTTCCCGGCGTCATCGCGCGCGCGGCGTTCGCGACAGCGGGCGTGAACGCCTTCAGCGGGACGTCCGCGCCGAGATCTCTCAGGAGCTGCTTCACGTCCCTCGCGGGCATGAGCAGCCGCCGCGCGTCGCCGGCGTGCCGCGCGAGAACGACAGCGCCCTCCTTCGTGAGGCGGTACGGGAACGCGCCGCCGCCGCCGCCGCCGCCGCCGCCGCCGCCGCCGCCGCGGACGTCATCCCTCTTCTCCCACACCCTGACGCCGCTCCAGACGCACTTCAGCCTCTCCGCGCCGATCGCGTCCACGCACATCTTCTTAATCCCCGGCGAGAGGTACGTCACTCGCCTGCAGCTCGTCGACCGCGTGAAGAGGCACGCGCACATTTCGCGCATCGCGTCCCCGCCGCCGCCACCGCCCCACTCTCGCGTCAACGCGTCCAGCACCTCCTCCGGCGCGGGGACGTACCGATGCTCCAGCGGTGGCCGCGGGACGCCGCCCACGAGCCCACCGATCGCCATCGCGCGGGGCACGATCGCGCTCGCGCCTGGTGCCTTCATCGCGGTCGAGACGCCTTCCGACGTCGGCGACGGCCCCCGCAGCGGCTTGACTTTTCGAATCAACGCGGCGAAAAACCCGCCCATGTCTCCGTCCTGCGGCACCAGCCGCACGCACCGACGCAGCGGCGGGCCTCTCACGCGCACGCCGAGCCGCGTGACGCCGCTCGCGACCGGCGGCCACATGCTCGGTCGAAACGCGCGCCGAAGACCGACGCCGAGGGAGGCGTCGCGTTGGCAGTCCTCGTAGGACGCGTGCTGAGGGTCGTTCCCGGGTGGAGTTGAAAGGCGTCAGGTGGAGTTGAAAGGCGCCGAGGGCGGTGATTGAAAGCGAGGGACCCTGGGCGGAGAGAGACGCCGGGAAAAGTCCTTAAGGATCGGCGTTCACCACGCCATCGCGGTCGTACGGGGACCAGTGTGAGATAGAACGCACCTCGAGTATTTCGTCGTCCACCGTCGTGATCACCTTCCACGTCGTCATCCCCTCCCGCCTCCGCAAGCCCTTCACTCTGTCGCTCGCGTCCACGAGCTCGATCGCGTCGCCGCAGCGCCGCAGCAGCTCCGCGACGACGGCCTCGTTCTCCACGGGGTTGAACGAGCACGTGCTGTAGACCATGTACCCGCCGACTTTGAGCAACGCGACGCCGCGTTGCGCGATGCGAAGCTGCAACGCGTGCAGCCCCATGGCGAACTCCGGCCGCCACTCGCTCCAGATCTGCGGGTTCTTGCGCAGCGTGCCGTCGCCGCTGCACGGGACGTCGCATATGATTCGATCGAAGCTGCCCTCCGGGTACCGACCGCCGTCTTCGCGCGTCGCGAACGGCGCGAGCGGCGCGGAGCCCGGGGCGCCGTTCGCCTTCGCCTTCGCGATCGCCTTTGCAATCGCGTCCCGCCCGCGCCCGGGCGTCGTCCCCCCGGCGACCGTCGTCAGCGGGACGTTGCCGTTCGGGAACCACTGCGCGTGGTGGTTCGTCACCATCAGCGCCTGCGTCGCCGCACCCAGCGCCGCGCATCGCCTGACTAAAAAATAACACCTCCGCGGGTCGATGTCGTTCGCGGCGACGCACCCGGCGGGCGCGCCGCCGCCGCCGGTTTCGCCGCCGGCGTGCAACGCCTCGAGGCACTGCGTCGTCTTACTCCCCGGCGACGCGCACAGATCCAGCACGGCGTGGTGCGGCTCCACCCCCAAGATCGCGGCCGGGACCATGGAGTCCACGGCCTGTCGCGTCAGCACCCCCGTGCTGTTGTGCTTCACGAGCCACCGTTGAGTCTCTCGCAGCGTCGCGTCGCGCGAGTATTTGAGCGTCATCTTGTCCACCCCGAGCTGCCATCCGTCGCACCAGTCCAATCGCCGCGGCGGCGGGACGACGCGGCCGTCGTCCGTCCGCGGCCGCGGGTTCTCCGCGCCCGGGGTCAGGAGGCGCTTCCCCTCGCGCAGCGCCTCTTCCACGCCCGCGCGGTGCGACGCCATGATGGACATCCGGAACGTCACGGGAAGGGGCGCGCGGAGGTGCGCGAGAAACGCGCTCCACTCGCGCTCGTCCGCGAGGATGTTCTGACGGCGGTAGTACTCCTCGAAGTGCGTCGTGGAGCGCGCGGAGAGCGTGCGCGAGAACCACGGCGCGGACGTCCGCGGGAGGACGATCTTCTCGTCGGGGGCGCGCGGCGGCGGCGGGGGAGGGACCTCGCGAACGTCGCCGTCGCCGTCGTCGTCGTCGTCGTCGTCGTCGTCGTCGTCGTCGAACGTGATTTTGTTCGGAATCGCCCCCGCGTCGCCGCCGTCCTTCGCGCCCGCGGCGGGCTTCGCGGGCGCGCCGCCGCGTCGCTTCCTCGCGAGCACCATCGCGCGGCTCCTGTTGCGCTTCCCCATGCCGACGACGAGCCCGCGAGGAGGGCGCGCCGCGGTGTGGCGGACGCGCGCCGACGCGAAAACCTGACGGAATCTGTCTCGTCTCGGCGGAAACGAGACTGGCGATGGCGATGGCGCCACTCCAGCGCGTCGAGGTTGACGACGACGCGACGAACGGGCGTTCGCGCGGGAACCGCGGCGCAGACCTCTCAACGCGCAGACCAGAACCGTCGCGGACGCGAAGCAGCGATCGCCTCGCCGTCACGCGATCGCGTCGTCGGCGTCGATCGCGAGGGCGCCGCTTCGCGGGACGCGAGCGCGGCGACGCGCGAGCGCGCGAACGCGCGGACGACGCGCGGAAGATGGCGGGAATCTGCATCCAGTGCGCGAAGTGCCTCAAAATCCTGAGTGACTCCACCGCGCTCGTGCTCAGCGACGCGGCGAAGAACATCCTCGCGGTGAAGGGCGCGTCGTGCGTCGTCGTGGACGAGGTGCGCGCGGTCGCGGAACGCGACGCGCGGAGGAGAAGACCCTCGCGGAGGAGAAGACCCTCGCGTCGTCGCGCCGCGGAACGATCGATCGAACGATCGATCGATCGATCGAACCCGATCGGCTTCCCTCGTGACTGGTCCCCATACGACCGCGTTCGCGTGGTGAACGCCGTTCCTTAAGGACTTCGTCCTCCTCCTCGATCGAACCCGATCGGCTTCCCTCGAGGGTGCCGTGCCGTGCCCACGATCGATCGCGAATCGAACATCCGCGGCCGGCGCCTTCCTCCGTCTGACCCTCCCCCTCCCCCTCCCCGCCCCAACCACCGTGATCGCCGCAGGAGAGGATCCAGGACGAGACCGACGGCGGCGACAGCGAGTACTCCCGCGCGCGATGCGAGAACTGCGACGCGCTCGTCGGTCGCCTGTACAACCGCGTCGGCGAAGCGAACGCTCGCGTGCGCGATTTACTCTGCCTCGACACCGCCGCCGTGTGCTCGTACCAGCTCGGGTCGCACGAGCTCAAGTGCGCGGGGCACGAGCAGACGCCGACGATCAGTGGCGGTGGTGGTAACGGAAGTCAAGGGGGCGTTTCGGTCGACGAGGACCGCGTGCGGAGGTTAGAAGAGCAGATGGTCAAGGCGCGTTCTTCTTCACACTGGTCCCCATACGACGGCGTCGGCGCGGTGAACGCCGATCCTTAAGGACTTTTCCCGGCGCATCTCTCCGCCCAGGGTCCCTCGCTTTCAATCCCGACACACCTCGACGCCTTTCAACTCCAACTGACGCCTTTCAACTCCACCCGACGTTCGATGGTCAAGGTTGAGAACGTGCTCGTGTTGTTCAACGAACGCGTCGGCGCGATGGAGAGCGTGGCGCGCGCGACGCAGCAGCGCATCGACGCGCTGTCCGCGCACGCGTCCGAGCCCGTGGCGTGGGGCGGGTCGCCCGTGGGCGGCGGCGGCGGCGGCGGCGGGAGTCTCGGCGGGTTCGGCGGCGGCGGGAGCGGCGGCGGCGTCGGGATGCCGTCGCTGCCGGGCGCGGGGCGGAGGCAGAGCGCGGGCGCGAGTTCGCTGGGCGGGAGCGCGGGGGGGAGGACCGCGTCGGGGCCGGGGTACGCGTCGCCGTCGTTCGGGCGGCGGTGATTTCGTGATCGATCGAACGTATTAAACGTATCACGTGACGTCTTCTGCGCGTATGTTTCGTCCAGCGGCGCGCGTCTCGTTCGTCTTCTGCTGCTTCTCAGTCGTCGTGTCGTTCGCGAGGCGTGCGCGTCAAGGGTGCTGCTTTCTCAAAGGATTGAGGTCCTCCATCGTTATATTTCTCCTCTCAGCGCCAGTTGCGATGTCGTAGTATAGCGACACGGGATTCTTCCTGTGAGCTAGTTCATTGATTCGCAGCAGCAAGTCAACGTTCCCGGTGGCGACAGCGGATATGGCACACTTCAATCCGTTGAGGTAAACGAGATTTACCGGACCGCCGCACGATTCGACTGTTTTGTCAAAAAACGCCCTTCCGTGTTCCGCGGCGTAGGGGGCGATCCAGCCCTCGAAGACGCGATGTGACCACATTTGAATTGCGTGCCGTCGGTGATTAGATATCCAATCCATTACGCGCCAGTGTCCTCCCTTTGCGGCGCACATGCTCACGACGTCGTTAAAACAGTCAGGTTTCGTGGCCCACACGAGCCTCAAAATCTCGACGTGCCCGCCTCTCGCGGCGAGCCCTGGAGTCCATACGTCCCACTCGTAGCGCGATATCACCCACTTCACGAGCTCCACGTTACCGCTGCGCGCGGCCATCGCGCACACAGCCTTCTCATCGCGCGGGCACTTCTGCTCGTCCAACCACCTCACGACGTCCAGGCGCCCGCCCCTCGCCGCGGCCGAGGGCGTCGAGGCGTCCCACGGAAAGTTTGTCTTCGCTCGCAGCGTCTTCAGGAGGTCGAGGTGTCCCCCGCGCGCGGCCTGCGCGCACGCGCGCGCGTCCGTCGCGCACCCGCGCTCGATCGCCCACTCGATGACATCGAGATGCCCGCCTCGAGCCGCGGCGGCGACCGCGCGCGCGTCCAACGCGCACCCCGCCGTTTGAAGATACTTCAGAACGTCGAGCTTCCCTCGTCGCGCGGCGAGCGCGGCGACCCTCGCGTCGAGCGTCAGCCCGTTCGCCGTCGCCCACCGAACCCGCTCGACGGTGTTTACGAACGCGCGCGCGCGCAGCTTCCTCGAGCCGGCGACGCCCGCGCTCGCGAGCCCGAAGAACTCGACGTCGTCGCGCCACGCGCGGCACGTCCGCGCGAGCATACCGCGCGAGAGCGGGTCGAGCCTCTTGAGCAGTTCGAACTTCGCGCCGTCGCGCGCGACCGCGGCGAAGCGCTCGAACGGCGACGGCGCCGGCGGCGACGGCGACGGCGACGGCGGCGACGGCGGCGCGGCGGCGCGGCGCGCGCGCTTCGCCGCTGGGGGGGTCGGATCCGTCGCGGACATCGCTCGCTACGCGACGTGGGGGCGTCCGAGGAGTGTGAGCGCGTTTCGAACTCTTCGCTGTCGCGCGGTCGGTGTGCTCGTCTCCGGTCAGTGTCGCTGCGACGCCGACCGCGACCGGCGCAAGCTGTGCGCGTCTCCGAGGTCGACGCCGCGCGCGCGACGCGAGATCCCGCACAGCGAGACGCGCACACGCCCGTCCTCGCACGTCGCGGCCCTCCCACCGCGTCCACGGAACGCGTCCGCGGCGCGCGCACCGCCTCGCCCGTCGGCGACCGCGGCGTCGCGTCGGTCGCGCGAATCCCCGCGCGCCCCGTCGGCGTCCGATCGCGCCGGCGGCAGGCGGGCGGCAGAGGCGCGAAACGTCGTCGGCATGGCCGCTCCGCCGCCGCCGCCCGCGATGTGGGCGCCGCAGAAAGAGGGCGTGGACCAGATCCTGCAGCTTCTGACGGAGTATCGCGCCCCGGGGGCGAACCAGCAGCAGGTGCGCGTCCGCGTCGCGTCGTCTCGTCTCCGCGCGCGCGCCGATCGATCGATCGATCGATCGCGCCGGGCGATTCATTCATCTTTCCGGAACCCTACATTCCTCCTCCTCCTCCCGATCGATCGAACGAACGAACGACGCGACGACGTCCCACCCCGCCCGCGGCCCGCGTCCTCGCCCGCGCCCGCGCGCGCCGTCCTCACCGCCGTCCCCCGCCCTCTACAAACACCCCGCAGATGTACCAACGCCTGCAGCAGTGCGCGCGGATCCCCGACTTCAACAACTACCTCGCCGCCATCCTGTGCGACGGCGACGGCGTCCAGGAAGAGATTCGACAGACCGCGGGCCTCCTCCTGAAGAACAACCTCAAGACGGGGTGGGAGACCACGGCTGCGGAGTACCGCGCGTTCATCCAGCGCGCGCTTCTCCCCGCGCTCGGGCACGCGTCAAAACTAATCCGCCAAACCGCGGGCACGTGCGTCTCCATGGCGGCCAGAGCCGCGGGCCCCGCCGGGTGGCCGGACCTGTACCCCGCGCTCGCGCGATGCGTCGAGAGCGGCGACGCGAACCACGTCGACGGCGCGCTGGACGCGATATACAAGACGTGCGAGGAGCTGAACGGGCGGCTGGACGTGGACGTGCCGGGGTTGCAGGAGGGGTCGCCCGCGGGGTTGCTCATCCCGCGTCTGCTGACGCTCATGGCGAACCCCGACAGCGCGACGATCCGACGAAGAGCGCTGGGGGCGATCAACCTCATGGTGCCGTGCTGGCCGGAGTCGCACGCGAAACTCATGGACACGTACCTCCAGGGTTTGTTTCAGCTCGCGCTCGATCAGGACAACGGCGTGAGGAAACACGTGTGCTCCGGAATCGTCGGATTGCTCTACCGCGCGCCGGAGAAGCTGACGCCGAACATGCGCGAGGTGATCACGTACATGATCGATCGCACGAACGACGGCGACGAGGACGTCGCGCTCGAGTCGTGCGAGTTTTGGGCCGCGTTCTGCGAGGCGGACTTGGAGCGGGACACGGTGGAAACGCTACGAGAGTTCACGCCGAAGCTCATTCCGATGCTTCTCACGAACATGGCGTACGCGGAGGACGACGAGGAGGTGTTGCAGGCGGAGGACGACGAGATCAACCGTGGGAGGGAGGACAGCGACAAGGACATCAAGCCGTCGTTCAGAGGGACGAAGGACAAGGGCGGCGGGCTCGGGGATGGCGGCGGCGGTAACGGCGGCGGCGGCGGCGGCGGCGGCGACGACGACGACGAGTACGGCGCCGACGACGACGACGAGGCGAGCCAGTGGAACCTCCGCAAGTCGAGCGCGAACGGCCTGGACGTCATGTCGAACGTGTTCGGGGACGAGCTCTTGGGGATGATCCTCCCGATCGTGGAGCAGCGGATGCGCGACCCGAACTGGCGGCTGAGGGAGTCGGCGACGCTCGCCGTCGGCGCCGTCAGCGAAGGCTGCACGACCGGTCTCACGCCCTTCTTGCCTCAGCTCATCGAGTTTTTGGTGCCGTCGCTGGAGGACCCGCGACCGATGGTTCGAAGCACGACGTGCTGGACCCTGTCGCGGTTCTCTCGATGGGTCGTTCAGCTCGCGTTCCCCGCTCGCCCGGGGGACCCCCCGCCGGCGACGGCGGAGCAGGGGAAAATGTTCTTCGACAAGATCATCAACGGCCTCCTCCGCCGCGTCGTGGACCACAACAAGCACGTGCAAGCCGCCGCGTGCGGCGCGCTCGCGACGTTGGAGTCCGAAGCGAGGGAGGACATCGCGCCGTGGCTCGGCCCGGTCGTCACCGCGCTCGCGCAGGCGGTGCACGCGTATCAGAGGAAAAACATGCGATGCGCGTTCGACGCCGTGTCCACGCTCGCGGAGTGCGGCGGCGACGCGCTCCGGTCGCCGGACGTCGCGAAGGCGCTTCTGCCGCCGCTTCTGCAAAAGTGGGAGAGCGGCGGCGACGCGCAGCCGGACTTGTACCAGCTCCTGGAGTGCGTCACCGCCGTGTGCGCGGGGGTGGGTCTAGGCGCGCAGGAGTTCGCCGCGCCCGTCTTCGCGCGCGCGCTGCACCTCGCGCAGACGCAGCTCACGCTTCGCGAGGCGGAGATTCGAGCGGGGGCGAACAACACGGACTTCTCGTACGTCCCCGACCACGTCATCTGCGCGCTGGATTTACTCTCCGGGATCGCGGACGGGTTGGGGAACGCCGCGGAGGCGCTCGTCGCCGCGCACGCGGACGCGCTGCGCAACGTCATCGTCGCGTGCGTTTCCGACCCGCACTCCCCGGGCGTCCGTCGCAGCGCGTTCGCGCTCGTGGGCGACGTCGCGAAGAGCGGCGCGGGCGCGCACATCATCCCGTCGCTGCCGCAAATCATGGAGTGCGCGGCGGCCAACTTGAAGCCCAACATGGTGATGGCGTACAACATGTCCACGTGCAACAACGCGTGCTGGTCCGCGGGGGAGATCGCCGCCGCGTTCCCCGCGGAGGTTGTCGCGCCGTACGCGCAGACGTTGGGCGCGTCGTTCGTCGGCGTGCTGCAGATGCAAATGATTCAGAGGAGCCTCGGCGAGAACGCGGCCATCGCGTTGGGAAGGTTCGCGATGAGGTGCCCCGAGCAGCTCTCCGCCGGGTTCGGAGAGCTGCTGTCTCCGTGGTGCGGCGCGCTGCGACGACTCCGCGACGGCGTCGAGAAGGAGCACGCGTTCGCCGGGCTCGTGAAGCTCGTCCAGGTCAACGCGCAGGGCGGCGTCGGGCCGGGTTTGGTGGACATGATGAACGCCATCGCGAGCTGGCAGTACGTGAGAAGCGCGGAGCTTCACGCGAATTTGATGAGCGTGTTGCGAGGGTACGAGCAGCTGCTCGGGGCGGAGCAGTGGGGGCAGCTGATGAACGCGCTGCAGCCCGCGGTGCAGAGGAAGCTCGGCAACTTCGCGAGCACGAACCAGCGGAACTGAGCGAGGGAGTTCCAGTGGGATCGGAGGAGGAGGAGGAGGAGGAGAGAGGAGAGGAGAAGAGAGGAGAGAAGAGGAGAGAGAGGAAGAAGGCGGCGGGGGGGGGGCGTCTCGAGGAGGAGGCGCCGACGGACGGGAAGGAGGAGGAAGAGAGGAGAGGCAGAGGAGGTCCAAGTAGGAAGCATAGGAAGGAGGAGATTCGGAAGTAGGAACGAGGGCACGATAGGAGGAGATGGTAGGAGGGGATTTATTGGAACCGGAGTACGTCAAACAACTACAGTACGTGTACGGTCACTAACAGTAACTAACGACGCCCTCCCCTCGGCTACGTACGAAGGGATGGGATGTCGTCGACGTCGCGTCTTCGCTCACGCCCCGCCGCCGCCGTCGTCTTTAAACCACGCGGCGACGCCGCCCTCGCCCACGGCCCCGTACCCCAACGCGACCACCGCGCCGTCCGACGACCAGTCCGCGGCGACCGCGTGTGCGTTGAACGCGCCCTTGTGCCCCCGCGGCGCGAGCGGGGCAAGACCCTGTCGAACCATCGCCGGCGCGCCGTCTCGCGACGGCATCGCGTACGTCGCGGCGCCGCCGCCGCCGCCGACGCTCGCGACCGCCCTCGGCGGCGACGTCAAGAAGTCCTCCGAGTCCAAGTCCACGCTCACGTCGAGCGCCGCGGCGCCGGAGACCCCCGGCCAGAACGGCAGCTGCGACGTCACGAGCGGCGTGAGCGTGGGCGATTTATTAGTATAGATAGTCGCCGGGGCTCCGTACACGCGCACGAGACCGGATTTAAACACGGCGACGAGACCGGGGCCGCCGCACACGCCGGTCCAGTGCGGCAGATGCGTCAACGATATGACGCCGCCGCCGCCGGGGAGTTTCAGCGGCGGCGCTCTCGACGCGCGCGCGCCGGAGAGCGACGACACCGCTACCGGGGGTTTCGCGCGGTGCACGAGCGCGAGGTGGTGGATCACCCGCGCGCCCCCCTCTCTTCGTCTCGGCGTCGACGGCAGCGGCGGCTTGGACGTCCCCGGCGCCGCCGCCACCGCCGCCGTCGTCGACGTCTCCTCCAGCGTCTTCTCCGTCCCTGGGCCCTTCGACTTCCTCTGCGCGCACGCGATGACGTGCACCTTCCCGTCGCCGTCGCCGGCGTAGACGACGCTCCCCGACGCGTTCCTATGAAGCGATGTCGGGGTGGAGTTCAAAGGCATCAGTCGAAGTTGAAAGGCATCGCGGTTGAGGATTGAAAGCGAGGGGTGGGCGGAGAGATGCGCCGGGAAAAGTCCTTAAGGAATGGCATTCACCACGCCAACGCGGGCGTATGGGGACCAGTGTATGGGACGCACCACGCCAGACACCCCACCGGCGAGCGCATGTACGAGCGGCTCGTCGCGCACGCGGCCCTGTGCCCCGTGCTCGCGTTCAACAGCCACACCGCCGCGGTCTCTAACCCGACGACGAGGAGGTTCGCGTTGATCGGGTGGAACCGGACGGCGTGGACGGCGGCGCCGCACGGTATCGCGCGCGCGCACCGCCAGCCGCCGGACGCGTCGTCGTCGTCGGCGGCGGCGGCGTCGGCGGCGACGGCGGCTCCCGGGCGCGGTCTGGACCACAGGCGCACGGCGCCGTCCAGGGAGGACGTCGCGAGCGCGCCGCCGTCGAGCGTCCAGTCGATATCCGTGACCGCGGCGGTGTGCCCGTCGAGGGACGCGACGCGTTCGAACGACGCGGACGACGACGACGACGACGACGACGACGACGACGGCGCGCTCGCATTCGCCCTCCCGCGCTCGAACGCGACGAGCTCGACGACGCCGCACTCTCTCCCGACCGCGAGGACGCGCGGGCCCATCTTGGACCATCGCACGCGTGATACGCCGGACGCGTGCGTGTGCCTCACCGGGCCCGCGGATCTCAGCGCGGACGCGCGACGCGTCGACGTCGTCGTCGTCGTCCTTCGCGCGCCCGCGCGCTTCCTATCTCGCGTCTCCTCGTCGCCCCCGCCGCCGCCGCCGTCGTCGTTCCAATCGCCGTCCACGGACGACGCGCGCGACGACGTCGGCAGCGACGGGCTCCCCGGGACCGCGCGGCCGCTCGCCGCCTCGCCGCTCGTCGCCGCCGCGTCCGTCGTCGTCGCGCCCTTCTCCTTCGCGCGGAGGAGTATCGCGCGTCGGAACGTGCCGTAGTCGACGCCCTGATGCGAGACCCATCGAGCGCGCGCGCCGAGGCCGTTCGCGATGAGCGCCGCCGCGCGCAGCGCGTCGGGGTTGTTCCGATGGATGCCCTCGTCCACGAACTCCATCGCGCGGCGCGACGCGAGGCGCGTGCGATGCGCGCGCCGCCGCCGCGCGCTCGCGTCTCCGCCCCGTCGTCGACATCGGACGGCTCGGGACGGCGGGCGGTGCGAGCAGCTTGGAAGACTAAGATTCCATACGACATTTTTCGTACTCGTACTCTATGGTTTTTTAGTTTGATAGTCTGAGCGCACCTTGTCTATTTCCGAGCCGTTGAACAGTTCGAGAAATCTCGCGACAGCTCGCGCCTTCGGCGGGCACTGTTCTCCGCGCGCGGACGGCGGCGACGCGAAGGGCGCATCGCACGCGGAGTCGGATAGGACGCGCGATACGCGCGCGGCGACGCCGGCGCGGCGAGAGGACGTCCCGAGCGGGAGGACGCGCGCTCGTCGTCGACGCGTCGTATTCATCGGAAAAAGCCACGACGGGAAGCAACATCATCATCGCGCGTCGGACGACGAGCGGACGCGAGGAGGATGTCCGTCGTGCCGACGACGGGGACGTCCGAGGAGAGCAGCTCGTTCTACACCTCCGACGCGACGAACACTTCTGACATGACGTATCGGTCGCGGAGCGTCGCGAGGAGCGTGGACGGCGAGGAGAACGCGGAGAGCTCCGCGCGCGCGAACGCGGCGTCCGTCCCCGGCGGCGGGATGCGAAAACAGTCGGAGGACGCCGCGGAGACGTCGAGGCTCTCGGACGCGTACGCGTCGGATAACCAGGAAATCTTAGAAGAAGCCGGATCGGACTACGAGCCCGCGGAAGAGGAGGTCATCGAGTACGCGCGATGGCTCGGCATCGCCGCGAAGGAGGACGCGACGATGCTCTGGATCGCGCGCGAAGGCCTCGCGGCGCCGCTGCCGGAGGGCTGGAAGCCGTGCCGCACGGGGGACGGGCAGGTGTATTACTTCAACTTCGACACCGGCGCGAGCTCGTGGGACCACCCGATGGACGAGGCGTTCAGAGCCAAGGTGGAGGAGGCGCGCGCGAGCGCGACGACGGCGACGCGGAAGGACGCGAGCGAGTGCACGACGTCTACGGATACGAGCGCGGACGTCGACGTCTCCGCTCGCCGCCGCAGCGCCGGCGGGTCCGGCACCTGCAGCGCGCGCAGCAGCGTCACGAGCCTGAAGTGCGCGTCGCCGGCGCCGCCGTCGCGGGGTCGGTCGCCGTCGCCGTCGCCGCGGCGCGTCGGCGGCGTCGTCGCGGAGTCGGCGACGCGGCGCGCGGACGCCGCCGCCGCCGCCGCGCGAGAGCGAAAGCCGAAGCCGCTTGGACCGGTGGACGCGAACGCGCTCGCGAACGCGCTGATGGGCGACGACGTCGGCGCGGCGAAGCGCGGGGGGAGGCTCGGGATGCTCCCGAAGAGCCGGAGCCGGTCGGCGTCGCCGTCACCGGACGTCGACGCCGCGGTCGCCGACGCCGCAGCGGCGACGCGTCCGGCGAAGCTCGCGCCTCTCAACTTGAATGGCGCGAAGGCGAAGAAGTCGTCGCGCGGGCGGTCGCGCGGGCGGTCGCCGTCGCGGTCGCCGCGCGCGTTGAACTCATCGCTGTCGTCCATCGAGGAGACGCTCGAGGAGGAGGAGGAGGACGACGACGACGTCGCGTCGTCGTCGCCGCGGGACTCGAACGACATCGGCGTGGCGGCGGCGGCGGCGGCGGTGTCGTCGCCGAAAGCTCGCGACATCGCCGCCGCGGCGACGAAGGCTGCGGAGGACGCGAGCGTGTTCTTGGACACGAGCGCGCTGAGCGCGAGGAGCGCGAGCGAGGAGAAGAGCGCGGGCGCGAGAAGAGCGCGGCGCGGGTTATTAGGAGACGCGATGCGATTCAGTCGTGGGGACGGCGGCTCCGGCTCCGCGTCGTCCTCGTTCGACCGCTCGGACGTCGACGCGTCGGACGTGAAGGACGAGGAGGAGGAGGTCGTGTCGCGCAGCGCGTTCGCGGATTACGCCGCGCTCGAGGAGGCGACCGGCGGCGGCGCGCGCGCGGCGATCGCGACGGCGCCGGCGCCGGCGCTCGAGCGCCCCGACGACGCGCGGCGAGGGCTCGTCCTCGCGGCGCGGACGGACGTCACGACCGCGACCGCGTGCCAGCGCCGCAACGCGCGCGCGGCGGCGGCGATGGCGCGACGTCTGTCGACGCTCGAGAGCGAAGTCGGTCGGCTCAGAGACCTCGAAGCGGAGGTGGAGGACGCGAAGGCGTCGGCGGACGCGGACGTGAAGGCGTCGGCGGACGCTGACGCGAAGGCGTCGGCTGACGCGGACGCTGCGCGGATCGCGGCGGACGCGGCGGCGCGGGAGGCGGCGGCGCTGCGGCGCGAGGTGGACGCCGCGAGAGCCGCCGCGGAGGCGGCGGAGGGCGCGATGCGGCTCGAGAAGGACGCGAGAGCCGCCGCGGAGGCGACGGTCGCGGCGTTGCGGGACGCGAAGGCGCGCGCGGACGCTGAGTTGCTCGACGCGCGGAGGCGGCTCGTCGACGCCGAGGCGGAGAGGGAGAAGAGTTTGGAGGCGGCGGCGGCGGCGGCGTCGCTCGCGGCCGCGGTCGCGGAGCGAACGACGCCGACGGCGGAGGAGAAGGGCGGTTTGAGGGCGGAGTGCGACGCGCTCAGGGAGGAGCTGGCCGCCGCGCGCGCGAGGCACGAGGAGGAACTCGCGCGCGCGGCGGCGGCGGCGGCGGCGACGTCGGCGGCGGTCGCGGTGGTGGACGCCGACGCCGCGGCCGCGGCCGCGGACACCGTCTCCGCCGCGTTCGACGCCGGCGTCGCGAAGCACGAGGAGACGCTGTCGAAGGCTGCGGCGTCGCTCGAGCACATCGTCTCCGCGTTGGTGACGAGGGCGGAGGAAGCGGCGACGCGAGCGGAGACGGCCGCCGCGACGACGACGACGACGACGCCCGCGCATCGGGAACGCGTCGTGAAACGCATCGCCGCCGAGCGTTCAGGAGACGACGAGAGCGACGGTGGCGCGTCGTCCGCGGACGTGTCCATGGCGGACCCGGGGTCCGCGTCGTCGTCGCCGGGGTCGGCGGCGTCGCCGCCGGCGGCGGCGGCGGCGGACGCCTTCGTCTCGAGAGGCAAAGGCGCGGACGGCGCGGTCGGCGCGCGCGAGAGAGTGGGGCCGCTGGGCAGGACCGTGGAGATTTTGAAAGGGTGCGTCGGTTCGTACCCGCGGCTCATAGAGTTGCTCGTGGCGCACGACGCGAAGGAGAGGGAAGAGGCGGCTGCGGCGTAGTAGGCGCGTCTGTCTATCGGCGGCGGGCGGGCCTTTTCGTCGATATAAATTTCGACCGACCGCGTAGTACGTAAATCGTCGTACTCGATCGTATGTGCATTTCAGTCACGACGACTCGGTGCGTCGCTCGATTCCGTACCATCTCTCGACGCCCTATCCCGTCCACGCTGTCCTCGCGGCGCGCCATTGATCGGATCGATCCCCGCGCCACCTCGACGCGCCATGAACGCCATCGTCGCCCTCCCGACCCTCACCGTCGCCCCCCGCGCGCGTCTCGCGCGCGAGGGCTCCGTCGCGAAGCCCGCCGCCCGCGCGGTGCGTCCCGCCGCGCCGCCCGCGCGCGTCCTCCGTTTTTCTCCCGCGACCGCGATCGACGACGAGAGGCGACGTCGATAAGAAGAGAGGATCGACGCCTCCGTCGATCGCGGACGCCACGCGGTCCCTCCCCGACGCGCCGTCGCTGACCGCGCGCGTCCCATCGTTCTCTCCTCTTCGCAGGCCCCCGTCGCGGTCGCCGCGCAGAAGCAGGTGCGCGTCGAGTCGTCCCCGAAGACGCGTCGCGCGTCCCCCCGTCGCGGCGTCGATCGTCGCGTCGTCGCCGTCCGTCTCTCGCGACGAAGGAGGGAACAGAAAAAATCCGTCCAGTCGTCTCGGAGATAAACCCTCCGGCGCGACTTGCGATTCTCATCATCATCATCCGTCGCCCCTCCTCCCTCTCCCTAAACCCTTCTCTCCATTCTCCAGGAGTCTTCCTCCGTCGCCGTCGCGTCCGAGTCCCGCGCGGTCAACCTCGCCGCGCTCTCCGCGGCGACCGCCCTCGCCCTCGCGTCCCCCGCGCACGCGGGCGACCTCTTCAGCGCGGAGTACTCCGGCCTCCTCGGCGGGTTCTCGCTCGGCATCGGCCTCGGCGTCGGCGCCATCTCCGCGCTGCTCCTTCCGATCATCTGCGGCACGCTGAACCCGGTCCAGATGGCGATCAACCTCGGCGTCGTCGAGGGCGAGGTCTCGAACCTGCGGAAGTTCAAGAACAACGGCGAGCCGATGGAGCACGGGACGAAGTTTGGACACAAGTGGTACAACACGGACGCGTACTGCAACGGGAAGTACATCGACTTCGCGGGGACGAAGAAGACGATGTCGGCGATGGAGAAGTCGAAGTGAGCGCGCGGCGTGTGGTAACCGTTTATGTGTGTGCGTCACGTGACGTCGCGTGAAGGAAGGAAGGAAGGAGGGGAGGAAGGAAGCGGCGAGCGAGCGATGTGACGAATGTACGAGAGAGAAGCCGTCTCGTCCTCACGACAATGACACGTCTCGCGGCGTTTGGCGCCCGCCAAAAAAAATCCTCTTCGACGTCTCGTCACGACGCGCCGTCGCGCCGACGCCGACCCGCTCTCTCTCTACACGTACGCGCACGCGCGCGATCCACGCCGCTCAGTACCCGCTGAGGATCCGCGGCAGCGCCTCCACGTTCGCGAGCAGCGCGAACAGCGCGAACAGAATCCCCGTCCCCGGGTACACGCGCGGCCCCGGCCAGTCCATCCCGTCGTCCTCCATCGCGTCGAAGCGATCTGAGGGTCGTTCCATACGAGCGAATATCGGGGTGGAGTTGAAAGGCGTCAGTAGAAGTTGAAAGGCATCGAGGGCGGGGATTGAAAGCGAGGGTTGGGCGTGGAGAGACGACGGGAAAAGTCCTTAAGGATCGGCGTTCACCACGCGAACGCGGTCGCATGGGGACCAGTGTATAGAACGCGCCTAAGAACCCTTTCCCCGCGAGCAAACACGCGCCCGCGCCGAGCACTAACCCCCCCGGCGAGACCACCGCGTTGTCCGTCTGAATCGCGAGGAACGCGCCGACGAGCAGACCGCACGGCAGCGCGATCGACTGGAACGTCGGCCGCCCCTTGAAGTCGCTCGGCATGTTGCCCTGCTGGTACAGCGTCTCGCCCGCGACGCACGCGGCGAAGAAGAGGTCCTGCTGCGCGACCGCGTACGCGACGGACACGTCGACCGCGGCGCGCGTCGTCGTGTTCATCGCGCGGCGGCGGCGCGACGACGACCACGTCGCGGTGGGGGATCGCGCGCGGAGGGCGCGCGCCGCCGCCGCGCGGGGCTTGGACCCGAGCGCGTCGGCCGCGACGACCGCCTGTGTACATCGCAAGATCGGAGGCGGAGGAGGAGGAGCGAGGAGGACGATCGCGGCGTGAGCGATCGACGCGACGTCGACGACGACGCGCGCCCTCGCGCCCGACCGAGGCGCCGAGGCGCGAGAGGGAGGGACGGCGCGCGAGAGCGGTCGGGGACGCACCGGGCGGATGCTCGCGATCGTGAGGGACGCCATCGTGCGCGTGAGAGTGCGCGCGCGGGGAGGACGCATCGCGGTCGCGGTCGCCGCCGCGCCGGTCGGCGGCAGGGACGACGACAGGTGTTTCGGAGCGCGCGCGTTATCCGAAGACGCGCTCTCATCGCCGGCGTCATCACTCCGCGACGCACGCCGCGACGTCTTCAGCGCGTCAGGGAACCCCGCGGCGATGCACGCCGCGATGACGACGACGATGATGACGACGACGTCCGCGACGGCGACGCTCTCGTCGCGCCGCGCGCACGGCGCGCGCGTCGCGCCCTCGCGCCCGCGCGCTTTCGCGTCGTCGTCGTCCGCTCGCGTCGCGTGCCGACGCCGCGAACGCCGCGTCTTCGCGAGCGACGACTACGAGCAAGCGGACACGGACGGCCCCGCGATCAAGGTGGAGATCCCGCTGAAGGACATCTCTCGCGGGAAGAAGATCGGCACGGGGTCGTTCGGGGACGTCTTCGACGGGACGTACAAGGGGACGGCGGTCGTCTTGAAGGAGCGGAAGCTCACCGCGGACGGCTCGCGATTCTTCCAGACCGAGGCGACGTTGAACCGACGTCTCAAGAACTGCAAGGGCGTCGCGCCGTTCGTCGGCGTCGCGGGCGCGAACGCGTTCTTGGTGTGGAAGGACGAAGGCCGCGACACGTTGGAGACGGTCCTCAACGGCGGCGGCGGCGGCGGCGGCGTGTTCGGCGGGCTCTTCGGCGGCGGCGGCGGCGGCGGCGGCGGCGGCGGGCTCGCCGCCGCGATGAACGTCGGCGACGAGACCAAGGCTGTCAAGCTGTTCTCCAAGCAGCTGCTGCAAGCCGTCGACGCGGTCCACGGCGCGGGCGTGATCCACAGGGACGTCAAGCCGAACAACATCTTGTTCGCGAGGGGCGGGAAGATCAAGCTCATCGACCTCGGCGGCGCCGCGGATTTGCGCGTGGGGACGAATTACGACAAGGACGAGACCGTGTTCGATCCGACGTACGGCCCGCCGGAGAAGTATCTGGACGTGAAGGGCGTGGGGAACATCTTCGGCGCGGCAGCGGGGTGGGCGTCCGGGAAGCCGGACCTGTTCGACGCGTTCTCGTGCGGGATGGTCATCCTTCAGTGCGCGTGTCCGTCGCTGCGGAAAGGGAAGGCGATGAACGGCGTGAAGCGGGATCTGAACGTGTACAACTACGACGCGGAGCGGTGGAGGGACACGCTGTCGGAGAAGCGGCAAGAGGATTTCGCGATATTAGACGCGGACGGAGGGAAAGGTTGGGACCTCGTCGTCGGGTTGCTGTCGCAGCGCAAAGGGCGGACGTCGGTGAAGAAGGCGCTCGGGCACCTGTTCCTTCGCTGACCGGACCGACCCGACCGACGGCGGCGGCGGCGGCGGCGGCGTTCGATCGATCGGAGCGCGTCTACGTCGTAGTAGTGGGACTAAGTTATATTCTATCGCGCGTCGACGAGGCCGTCTCCGCGCGTCTCCGCCTCCCGCGTCGCCGTCGTCGTCGTCGTCTTCGCGCGGGGGAGGGGCCCGCGCGGTCGCCGCTCGCCGCCGCGATCGCACGTCTCGAAGCACGCGTCGTCGCCGTCGACGTCCACCCCCGACTCTCGCAGCCGCGCCAACGTCAACGCGCCGACGACGTTCTCGCTCTCCCCGCGCACGAGCGCGTCGCCGACGTGCGCGTGCAGGCACTTCACTCTGTTCCCCGACCATCCGCGGCGGTCCGCGTCCACGCTCACGCCGACGAGGCCGGTGTCGAACAAGACGCGCGCGTGACGCTCGAACGCGCCGCCCGCGTGGTTTTCCATTTTAATTCTCTTCTCCCACGCGCGCGGCAGCAGCCACCGCCGCGTCGCTACCGCGCCCGAGTGCGCGTATTCCAACGCGCGCGACAGCGCTGGGACGTTCGCGACCACCTTCGCCATCGCGTCGATCCCGCCGCGCGCTTCCAGCGCGTCGACGTGCATCGCGAGCAGAGGGCAACAGAGCCACGACGTCGCGTGTTCCGCGACGGCGCCGCGCGTCGGCGACGCCGCCAACGCGCGCGCGCGCTGCCGCCGCGTCATCTTGCTCAGCTCCGCTCGCGACGGCGCTTTGGTCGCCGCGGCGTCGCCGTCGCCGTCGCCGCCGACGCCGACGCCGTCTATCGATCCGTCCGCCGTCGCCGCCGGGACGTGCATCGGGGCGTGGAGGAACGCGCGGTAGCGTCCGTGTCGGCACCGCGCCGCGCACGCGATCGGGTACCCTCGACGCTTCTTCGACTGCCTGAGCACCGCGGCGGCGTCGCCCGGGGCGCACGGCGATATCGTCTCCGCGAACGGGCGCGCGGAGAGCGGCGGGAGCGCGCGCGGGATGGACACGCGCGCGTGCTTCTCGCGGCGGACGTCGTCCATCGGCGTCGGCATCGGCGGCGACGCGGCCGTCGCGTTCGCGACGACGTCGTTTCCCGCTCGTCCCGCGGCGAGCGACGACGACGACGACGCGAGGTGGAAACGACGCGGGGGCGCGACGACGGCGCGCGCGGCGCTGCGGAGCAGCGTCAGCGCGCCGCGACGCGGGGGCATGGCCGCGGCGAGTCCGCGCGCCGTGCGCTGACCGCCTCCGGTGGTTCTTCGCGCGTTATGTTTTTTTCCCCGACGCGCATTTCGAGGTCATCGGCCTCTCCGAGAGATTGATTAATCGCTTCCGGCGCACACGACGACAGCGCGCGGCGGCGTGATCCGGTCGCCGCGCTCGCGACCGCGCCGGAGTATCTCATCGCGCGCGCGAGACCCACGGCGCGTGGAGTCGAACGGCGCGCCCACTCGCGAGGAGACGCGCGGCCGCGACGAACGGAGGGAGGAACGAATCGGGGAGCGAGCGCCTGCCAAATCGAGAATCGCCGCGATAGACTAAGCTATACACTGGTCCCCATACGACCGCGTTCGCGTGGTGAACGCCGATCCTTAAGCTGTCCGTCGCCGATCCGATCGATCGATCGCGCCGCTCGGACGCCCCGCGCGCCTTCCCTCCTTCCACCATGGCGGACAACGTCGCGGAGATGACCGAGGCGATGCCCGTCGTCCCCGCGGTCGAGGCGTTCTTGAGCTACCTCTCGCTCCACGACCGAACGCAGCTGGACATCATGCTCCATCGCTCGGGACGCCACCCGGACAACCTGAATTGGAGCGCCGACCCCAAGTTCGTGAAGAAAGCGCTGGTGTACGGACGCGCGACGTCCGGGGACGACAGCGAGCTGTACAAGAAGACGCTCCAAGAGCAGCGGAACGTGGAGAAGCGTCAAGCGCGGCGCAGCGTGATGAACGCCAAGGCGCGCGAGGCTAACGCCGACATGTCTATCTTCGAGCTGGAGAAGAAATTGCTCAAGACGTTCAAAGCCTACGGCGAATTCCGCCTGTTCAAGGAGAAGATGCGGTTCCGACGCGCGCCCGTGGGCGGCGTTTCCGTCCCGGAGTCCGAGAATGGCGTGTGGGAGATGAGCACGCTCGGGTTCCAGCGCATGATTCGCGACTGCGGCCTGCTGGACAACTCCCTGAGCGTCCAAGACATGGACAAGATTTTCGTCGCCGTCGACGCGGGGGAGACGGCGGCGCAGCAAAAGGTGAACAAGAAGAAACGCGCGCAGCGGATGCGAGAGGGCGAGCACGAGGTGGGGGATCTGAAGATAAACTTCGAGGAGTTTGGCGTCGCGATGCGCGTCGTCGCGAAGAAGCGGTACCCCGCCGCGGCGAACCGAGACGTCGCGTACAGGGCGCTGATGAAAAATTACGTCTCGCCCAACGCGCTCGCGTATCCGAAGAAAATGGAACCCGAGCCGGACCTGGACGAGCTCCTCTCGCGCGAGTGCGTCAACGCGTTCACGAAACACGACGCCGCGATGAAGCGCGTGTACGGGCACTACGCGACGCTGAACATGACGAGCGCGACGACGAAGAAGATCACGTGGGCGACCGTCGTGGAGACGGGATCTACGATGAACCACGACGAGTTCATCACGTTTTGCATCAACTTTGAGATCGTCCCGCAGCTCCTGACGAAAGCGGACGCGCTGTGCGTGTTCAACGAGGTCGAGGCCGCGAACGACGCGGACGGCGAGGTGGACGAGATGGTCTACCCCGCGTTCGTGGAGCTCCTCGGGCAGCTCGCGCTGAGCGCCTTCGCCAACGTGCCGCCGATTTTAAAAAACCCGCGGACGGACGTCAGCGCCATCGAGGCGTGCAAGAGACTGATCAAGCCCGTCCCGAAAGAGCTGTGGTTCTACGGCACGATAGGCAGGCTGTTCCGGCGCCGGGGGTACTTCGTGGGCCCGAACGGGAGCTGCATCCCCGCGAAACAAGGCGCGGGGCCCGCGGACGAGCGGTATCCGTACAAAGACCGCGACGCGGCGGCGGGCAAGGCGCCCCCCGGGGCGTGGATCCCCGCCGCGGGCGGGAACGCGGACGGGATCACGAACAACCCCGGGCACGAGCGCAGGTACGGCCGCGGCGGCGACGGGTTCTGGGGCGGGTACGACCGAAGGCCCGCGCAGGCGGTGCACTCGCGCGAGGAGAAGCTCGCGCGCGAGAAGATTAATCGCGTGCTTTTGGGAAAGATGCAGGCGCACGACCGGCTGCGCGCGAGGCAACGCGAGAACGACGCGAGGTATCCGGGGTACCCGAGCGGCGGCGTCGCGAACTTGGGCGCGGACGTCGACGGCGACGGCGGCGCGGAGGACCGCGGCGAGGCCGCGCGGTTGTTCAAGCAGTCTTCCACGCACGGCGAGTTGACGCGAGAGTCGTCGCGGTTCACGGAGACGGAGGCGTTTTTGGCCACCATCAGGTGCGTTCTATACAAAAGGTTTTCACCCACCGCTCGGTTTCAACACTTGATCGCGTCCCCTTTCGACTGACCGGTGAACTTTTTTTGTATGGAACGACCCTCAGAGACCCGCCGATGGACCTTCTCAAAGCCCCGTGGGTCCCCGCGAACCATCGCATCGCGAGCCACCACAGCACCGAGTCGTTTCAAAAGCCCGCGGTGCCGATGGACAAGCACGCGGCGAGCGCGCTCGTGGAGAAGATCATCGCGAAGCAACGCCGCGACGGCGTCGGCGCGACGCGGCGTTCGGTCGTGATGGCGCCGCGCGACGTCTCATCGTTCAACGCGGGCGACCCGCGCGATCGACGCCGGAGAGATAACAAAGGGCGTCTGCTCCCCGCGGGCGCGATCCCGGTGTCGGACCCGGACGCGAGAGGGATCGCGCGGCGGCGACGCGGCGTCCAGGTCACGACGTTTCAGGCGCCCGTGGAGCGGCACGGGCACGGCCCCGCCGTCGGCGGCGTCGTCGAGCCGAAGACTCTGAACACGCCGTACGGGTTCGAGTCCGCGAGAGAGAGCTACGAGGAGACGCTCAGGGAGAGTTTCGACGACTCCGTGTACGACGGCGAGGGGGGTGCCCACGACGGCGAGGGAGGTGCCCACGGCGGAGAGGACGACTACCCGCGACTCGACGCCGACGGCGACGGCGACGGCGAGGAGGAGGAGGAGAAGAAGTGGCTGTCCCCGAAGCAGCGCGAGGCGAGGAAACGCGATCAAAACTCCGTGAGAAACCTTGACTGGTTCGAGGAGATACGCGCGAAAGCGCTCGAGCAGAGGCCGGTGGGGGATCAACTCAGTCGCTGGCGCGGGAAGCTCGGCACCAAGGCGGATCGAGAGAACGCCGAGTCGATGATGGCGATGATTCGACGCGGTCTCTCCGTGAACCAAAACGTAGAGTGATGAATAGAGCGCCAGCCGTCGGACGCGCGCGTCATTTCAACGTCGCAACGCATCGCATCGCATCGCATCGCATCGCATGGCATCGCATCGCATCGCATCGCGCGCTCCTTCCCTCCCCTCCCCTCCCCTCCCGCCCGTTCCTTCCCGTTCCTACAACTGCTCCAGCACGCCCTCCTGTATGAGCGGCTGGCACTCGTCCCGCCACATCAGGTGCACGGAATTCCGCGTCAACTCCACGCTGCCGTCCCTCGTCACGATCTCGCCGTAGTCCTCCAGCGCTCGCACCTCCACCTTGTGATCCTCCGGCGGCGACTTATCCAGCGTCACGTTTAACCCGACGCCGTGCCTCCTGCCTTGATACTTATTCAGCAGCGCGCTGTACTCGGTGAAGAACGTCCGCTCCGCGTGCGAGAGGCTCTCGGCGACGAGGTCGGGAAGCCCCGCGCCGACTTCCCATCGCAAGTCCCGCACGCGTCGCATGCGCTCGTTCATGTACACGAGCAGCGCGCGCTTGTTCCGCAACACCGCCTGGTGATGCACGAGGATGCTCGCCGCGTCCGCCGGCGCGGCAGCCTCGAGCGACGTCCCTCGCTCTTTGATGTCGTCGATGAGTCGCAAGATCGAGCGGTGATGCTCTTGGCACTCGTCGAGGACGCCGCGCACGGTCTCGTCCGCGAACTGCGGGATCGTCCCTCGTTCGCTCTGCGACAGGTCCCTCACGAGCGCCGCGGATTTCTCCCCGAACCTCGACATCGCGACGACCGAGGGGAGGGAGGCCCGGGTCGTCGCCGTCCCCGTCGTTGTGACCGAGGCGAGAAGCCAGGCGGGGCATTTACATTTTTTTAAAACGACTTCGCGGGAGGGCGGAACGACCAGCGCGCGTTGAGCGCGAATCGAGTAAATTGCATTCGTCGTCATCCTTACAACCTCCGAGTCATGTTCTACTTACGACTCATCCCCACACCCCCATCCATCCCACGTCTCACTGCGCGGACAACGCCTGAAGCTTGTTCAAGAGCGTCTGCACCTTCGCCTCCTTCAGCCGAACCAGCTGCTCCAGCTTGCGCGCCTTGGTGTCGAGGATTGCGTTCGTCTCGCGAAGCTCCGCGATGAGCAGGTCCTTCTTGATCATCTCCCCGGTCGGGTCCTCGTACCTCAAGAGCTCCCCCTGCGGCTGCTGCGCCATCTCCTCGCCCGTCTCCGGGTTCACGGCGCCGTCGCCCACGGTCGGCAACATTATGTTTTGCTCTAACATCCCGGGCTTGATCTTGTGGTCCGTGACGACGAAGCCGAACGCCTCCTTGACCTCTTCGCCGGCTTTGTGGAAATCCACGGGCGGCGGCGCGACGCCGCCCTTCATGTTTTGTTTCTTCACCACGCCGTTGTTCTTTTGGAACTCGCCGAGGTAGTGTTTGATCAGCTTCAGCGCGTACTCCACCGCGCCCGTCTTGTGCGTGCACAGGTCTTTCAGGTGCGTCGGGTCCAGCGTAAAGTCGAGCTTTCTGAAAACCTTCGCGTTGAGCGTGTTCCAATTGTACATCTTCTGCGTCATCGCGCTCGCGCTGCTGTAGTTGTGCAGCTCCACGAGCTTGGGGTAGAAGTGCGCGACGACTTCCGCCATGAGAACTGCGATCGCATCGCGGGTGCGTTGGGGGGTGAGGGTGAAGGGAGGGTCGCGTCAGTTTCAGTTTCAGTTTCGCGCGAGGGAACGGGCGATTTCTGACGGGGCGCGCGCGTGCGAACGAATCGCGCGCGGTCCCGCCGCGCGCGGACGACGACGCGCGCGACCAAACCGGGTTCGAGCGCGGCGCGCGCACCTCCGTCCGCGAAGTCACGCGCGATGTTCCGCTTCGGACGCGACAGCGGGATCTGATCCACCCACTGGTACAGGATCTTAAGCTCCGCCTCGGAGACCGCGCTGATGTACGTCATGATGGCTGCCGCGGAAGCGCCTTTCTCTCCTCCTCTCCCGCGTCCTCCTTCCTCGCGACGATGACGACGACGACGACGACGACGCGCGATGTGCGACCGCGCGAAGCGTTGAGCGGCCCTACGTAGGTCGCGAGACGACGAGCGCGCGACGACGACGACGACGAGCGCGCGTCGGGTGTGCGCGCGGGCGCGCGCGCGCGCGGATCGAGGTCAACCTCGATTTGGACACCGCGCTGCGAGCGGCAACGGTCCACCGACCGCGGGATCACTGCTGCGAGAATAAGAGCGAGGTTCGGTTTTTGGTTTCGAGAGTTCAGTTTCGACTCGGCCGCGTTACAACAGACGCGCGCGCGCGCGCGCGCTTCCTCCTCATCTCTGTCTCTCTCTCGTCGTAAGGTCGTCGTCGTCCTTATCGTCGTCCGTCGTCAGTCGAACAAGTTCGGGAACAGGACGTAGTGCCCAGTCTTCACGAGCACGTACGTCACCGTGAACGCCACGAAGTACCGCGAACAAAACGTGTCGAACACCTCCAACCCTCGCCGCAGCGCCCCGGACGCCCTCCCGTACACCCGCAGCGGCACGCTCACCGTCCCCGCGATCAACCGCGCCTTCCCCAGCGCGCTCGTCTCGTCCGCGGCCGCGCTGACGTCCAGCGTCTCCTTCGCGTTCTCCATGAGCTCGCCGTACCGTTTGTTCACCTCGGCGGTTTTCCTCTCTCGTTCCTCTCGGCTCAGCGCGCCGTCGAGCATCAGCGCCTTGATCTCCGTCGTCTGCCGGTCCATCAGCTCGCTGAACTCGCGCTCGCGTTTCTCCGCGTCCGCCTCCGGGGTCGCCATCCCGAGCAGTCCGCCCGCGGCGCGCGCGAGAAGCCCCGCGCTGAGGTCGTGGTAGATGGCGAGGATGGCGACAACCTTGGTGGAGCCGAGGAGGATGAAGTTCGCGCCCACCATGAAGACGACGCCGGCGAGGTACGTCTCCGAGGTCTCGTGCAGCGGCAACACCCACCCGACGCCTTTCTCTTTGATGAACGGCACCATCGTCTCTCTGGAGAAGGACTCGAGGATGCAGAGCTCCGTGCGGACGCGGATGAGCACGTCGTTGATGAGCGGGCGGTAGTTTTCGATGTTTTGATCCCCCGCGAGCGACAACGCCGCCTTCTGGCCAACCCTGAAGACGCCGTCCGAGGCTGGGCACACCGGGTTGAAGTTGAAGAACGGGTCGATCCCCGCCGCGGTCGTGATCGCCGCGTCCGCGGGCGCGCACGGCTGCAGCGCGGCCAACGACGCGAGCCCGGCGACGCTAAAGTAAAACGCGTCCTTCTGCGCCTTGGCCGCGGCTTTCTCCTCCGCGCTCATCCCCGCCTCGCGCGCGCGCTCGATCTCCGCGAGCACCGCAGCCTTCGCCTGAAGGTCCGCCTCTCGCTGCGCGCGCAGGGTCTCGACCTGGATCGCCAGACGCGCGCGCGCGTCCTCGGAGCTGTGCTTCGAGGCTTGGTACCCTCGCGCGTATTTGTTTTCGTCGAAGGGCAACGCGGCTTCGAACGAGCACCCGTCGCTCGGGCAGTTCCCCTCGTCGACGCTCACGGTCTCCCAGGACGCGGTCTCGTCCACCGCGGGCTCCTTCTTCAGCGGCTTCAACACGCGACGCTTGCGCTTCACCGCGGGCGTCGCCATCCCGCGCCACGCGAGGCCGTCCAGTTGATTCTTTTGCTTCTCGTGCGCCTCGTCCGAGGACTGCGCGTCCGCCTGGTACCCGCGCGGCTTCGCGCCGTGCTCCGCGTCCGCGGCCGCGTTCTCGATCGAGCACCCGTCGCTCGGGCAGTCCGCGTACTCTTCCTCGACGACGTCGTCCGCGTCCGCCGCCGGCGGCGGCGGCGGCGCGGACGTCAGCGGCCGGATGACGCGTCGGTTCCTGAACCCGTTCGTCTTCGTGACCGCGTAGTGCGTCGGCTTCTGCGCCATCGCGCGGACGACGCGCTCGCGGCGCGGGTCCCGCGCGGACGCGGCGATGGCGGCGCGGGGCGCGCGCGCCGCAGACGCGCGCGGCGTCGCGCGTCTCGCGGAGGACGCGGACGCGGACGCGGACGCGGTCATCGCCGCCGCGACGCGCATCGTCGGCGGCATCGGCGGCGGTTCGGATAGACCGGCGCGACGGCGATAGAACGAATCGGTTTTCCGACCGCGCGCGCGGGGACGCGCTGTCCCGTCGCGCGCGCGGACGCTCGCGGGCGATGCGCTTCCGCGCGTTCGCGGGGTGGGAACCGCGCGGCGCGTGCGAGGCGTGCGACGTCGCGCGTGCGGCGCGTCGTCGAGTGCGCGCGACGTCGACGCGCGATGGCTGCTGGACGGCGGCGAGGAGAGCGACGCGCGAACGCGCACGTGAGCCGTCGATATTTCCGACGGACGAATGAGAGGCGAGGACGCGATGAAACAGAGATCCTCGCTTTGAAAATCGAAAGGTTCGAGTCCAGAGCCCCTTTCAACGCGGGGTCGAATACGTAAGTTGTTACTGTGACTCACCGAAACCGAAGACGTAATACGAAATCACTCACGCGTACTTCTTCGCGAGCGCCGCCGCCGCCGCCGCGTGCGACTCCAACGTCCCCGCGGTCATCGGCCGCATCGGCCACCCCTGGCCGTGCGTCTCCTTATCGCTTATCACCGCGAGGTTATACTTCTTCACCGACTCCTCGTACTCCCTGAACGCGAGCTCGACGCCCGCGCCTTTCGTCACGTCCGCCGCGCCGGACCCGGACGCGGACCCGGATGCATCCGCCGCCGCCGCCGCCGCCGCGAGCGTCCTCGCCATCGCCTCCCGCCGCGCCTTGACCTCGTCCAGACGCTCCACGCTCGCGGGCTTATACCCCGCGGTCTTCAGCACGCGGTTCAGCGCGGCCTGGCCCGCGTCCGCGTCCCACGGCGTCTCCGTTGAGTGGTCCGTCGCGAGCGGCTTTCCTCGACCCTCGAGATTCTCCATGACGCCGTCTCGCATCGCCGCTTCGATCTTCGCCTCCGCCATCGCGGCGACGCCCATCGGCGGCGGCGGCGCCTCCCACGGCGGCGGGTGCCCGGCGTCGTGCCGCGCGGTGGACGACGCGCCGTCGGCCTCGGCCTCCTCGCGCTGACGCTTCGACAGGTACTTCTCCGCTTTCGCGCGCGCGTCGTGCATCTGCTCCACCTTCTCCCTGAGCTTCTCTTGCTTCAGAAAGCCCTCCATGCCTTTGATCCCGTGGCCGCCGCCCAGGAACGCGCGCGTCGTCGTCCTCGCGCGCGCGCACGGCGGCGGCGGCGTGCGGAGGAGCGCGCCGCGCGCGAGGACGCGCCGGAAGGTCGTGCGGAGCATCTTGGGGGGGCGCGGCGGGGAGTGATCGAGCCTCGCGTCGTCGATCTGATGACGAAACTTCAGTTGTGGGCACCTCCGATGATCGGACTCGCGCGACGCTATCCACACAACGACTGCGCGCACGCACGCCCGCCGTCATGGCGACCGACGCGACGAAGAACGCGGCGAAGGTGTGGGAGGCGGAGCAGATCGAGACGTCGCGCGGTTCCCTCGACGCGCGACGGTCGCGCTCGCTCGACCGCGGCGCGTCCGCCGCGCGCGCCGACGCGCGCGACGACACTCGCACCCCCCGCGACGACCAGGACGACGACGACGACCACGGCCTCGCGCGACGCCGCGACGGCATCACGATGACCTGGCGCGACCTGCGCTACGTCGTGCACCCGAACGGCCCGTCGAAGCCGTCGAAGGAGGTGCTGAGGGGCCTCACCGGTGCGGCGCTGCCGAGGCACGTCATGGCGCTCATGGGTGCGTTCTCTCGCGTGGTGAACGCCGTTTCTTAAGGACTTTTGCCGTCGATTCTCTCTGCGCCCACACCTCGCTTTCAATACCCGCCCTCGACGCCTTTCAACTCCGCTTCTGACGCCTTTCAACTCCACCCCGACGTTCGCTCGTAAAGGCCCCACCGGCTCGGGGAAGACGTCGCTGCTCAACGTCCTGTCCGGCCGCGTGCCGTCGGGAGGGATGGCGAGTGGAAATGGCACGCGGGAGGCAAAGGAACGAGGCGCGCGCGGCGCGGACGACGCGCGCGATCGAACCGCGCGCGGACGCGTCGCGCGCGCGCGAAATCGAAAACGCGGAGAGAGACGCGCGCGCGCCTTCGCGCGGGCGATTCAGATCACGCGACCGCGGTGGCGCGAAGCGTCGAGGGCGACTCGCCTTCCCAAGGATGAGGATCTGACGATTTGGAAGCCGCGACTTCACGATTCTTCCCCGGCGTGCGACGTCGGCGACGCGCGCGCGAGCGCGAATACCTCCGGACGCGCGCGCGACGATCGCGCGTGTGCTCACAAAACTCGAGCGCGCGGAACCCGCGGGCGTTCTCGAGTCGCGCGTCGCGGTGTGCGTCCCGCGCTGCGCGCGACGCGTCGGCTTCTTTTTCGCCCGCGAGAGACCCGAAGCGGCGATTCGCGCGATCGCGATGGTCGCGCGAGTGCGTAGCGAGTGCGTCCGGTGCTCTGGTAATAATCTGGCCGCGGGTCTTCTCTTCTCGCCGCCGTATCTCTCGCCGTCGCGCGCAACCGATCGCGCGCGCCGCACGCGACGGAGGACGCGAGCGTCGCGTCGACGCGCGCGCGGACGAGGCGGTAGAACCCTCGCGAGAACGATGCGCGGCTCGAGCGCGCGCGTGATGCGAGTCCTCTCGTCGCTGTCGCCGTCGCTGTCGCCGGAATTCCTCGCCGCCGCGAGGCTCTCGGCGTCGACGTCGTCGTCGTCGTCGTCGGCGTCGTCGGCGTCGGCGTCGGCGTCGTCGTCGGCGTCGCGGACGTTCTCGTCCACGCCGAGCTCGCGTCTCTCCGACGACGAGCGACGACGCGCGGCCGCGTTCGCGGAGGCGATTCGCGAGGAGCAGGAACGCCGCGCGCGCGAGCGGCGCCGGACGGAGGAGACGCGACGATGGAGGGAGGACGACGGCGACGACGCGGAGTGGGTCGAGGTTCCGATCTTCGCGTCTCGACCGCGCGCGGGCTCGATGTTCGACGACGTGTTCGATCAGATGATGCGCGACGTTCTCCAGAGGCAGATGGAGATGGAGGAGAGCGCGCGCGGCGAGGGCGGAAGAGGAGGGCCGGGCGCCGCGGGCGCGGGCGCGTCGCGTTCGAAGCGAACGACGCCGAAGCACGAGAAGAAGGCGCACGCGCGCGCGAGCTTCAGGCGCGCGATGCGCGACCGGTTGGACGACGACGAAGACGACGACGAAGACGACGAAGACGACGAGTACGCCGCGTTCGAGCGCGCGCGCGCGGAGATCCACGCGCGGAGGGTGCAGCAGCAGCGCATGCAGCAGCAGCGCATGCAACAGGAGGCGCAGCGACGGCGGCAGGCGCAGCAGCAGCGGCGAGATCCGTTCGCCGCGTTCGGGGACGACTTCGACTGGAACGTCTTCGAACAGATCATCTTTCCGCAGATGGGCGGCACGCACACGTTCAAACAGGGCGGGTTCACGTTCACGTTCAAGACCGCGCCGGGCGGGGGTCAACACCGCGGCGGGAACCCGTTCGGCGGCGGCGGGTTCTCGCGCCCGCCGAACTTTGGCGGCGGCGGCGGCGGCTTCGGAGGGCCGCCGCGCGCGTGCCCCGACCGAGCCGCGCTCGGGATTTCGCCCACCGCGCCGCTGAGCGAGAAGGTGTTGAAAGAATCGCTGCGGACGCAAGCGATGAAGTGGCACCCGGACCGGCACAACGGCGCGGAGGAGAAGAAGAAAGCGGAGGTGAACTTCAAGCGGGTGTACGACGCGTACGACGCGCTGAAGCAACGCGTCGGGTACGAGTGACGCGCGCGCCGTAGTCGTCGCTCCGCCTTTGAAGATTGTTTCGCCGAGAGAGGACGAACACGCCAACGCTTTCGAACCCTACGCGTCGTCGCGCGCGCTAAGAATCAATCACCCGACCGACCGTTTCGGTTCGTTCAAGACCCACCCCCGACCAACACCCCGCGCTCCCTCCCTCCCTCCCTCGCTCGCTCTCGTCGACGCACTCACATCATCGTGCAGCACTGGTTCTGCTTCTTCGCCTGCTTGTAAAACATCTGCGACGCGAGCGATAGATCCGTGGACTTGTCGACCAAGTTATCGAGCTTCTCCCCGCGCGCGAGCACGGAGTCGATCGTCTTGTGCAGCACCACCTTGGTCTCGTCCAGCTCCCTCTGAATCTTCAGGATCTTATCCGCCTCCATCGGGTCCTGATACTTCGCGATCGCCTCCGCTAGGATCGCGTCGCCTCGCGCGTCGTCGCTCGCGACCGTCTTCCACGCGTCGCCCACCCTCGCGACGTAGTCGTCGCTCATCTTCGACAGCACGCAGAACGCGCTCCGGCTCGGGTACTCGCGGTCCATCACCGCGATGGCGACCAAGCCGCCGCGGTTGGTCACGTGCACGAGGTACTGGTCCTGCTCCACGCTCTGTCGCTGCCCGGGCTGCGTCCGCTTCACGATCGTCCGCGAGATGAACGTCAGCATCTCTCGCACGCTGCCGCGCTGGAAGTACCCAAACTCCGCGACGTCCTCCGCCTTGCCGAGGCACGTCGGCTCCGCCTTGTCGCCGTTCCACTTCCACAGGCTCAGCGCGGTGACCTTCATGGCGCGCGCGACTCGCCGGCGGTGGCGCGCGCGGCGTGATCTGAAGCGGGGGGCCGCGTCCTCGAAGAAACCGAAGTACGAACACGAACAGAAGTCCTCGCTCGTCAAACTCGCTGCGAGCCGCTCGTTGCCAGATCGGCACCCGAACGTTTTCGTCTGCGCGTCACACCGCCGTGCTCAGGGAGGGACGATGACGTCGTTCCCCGGCCGAGGCCCGCCGGCGTCGCGGCCGCCCGGCATCGACAGCGACAAGTGCGACATGCGCGCGCTCGCCAAGGCGGGAGGGGAGTTCCTCGAGGGTGCGATCTGCGCGCCTCGGATCGCTCTCGTATTATTTTTTCCCGCTCTCATCGCGCTCGATCCACCTCCTCCGTCCGCTCTCATCGATCCATCTCGCGCCGACGACCCCGTCCTGATACCTGACCGGTCCCCTCCCCTCGTCCTCTTCCTCCGCGGCAACAGCCGGCAACGGCGTGCGCGTCGGCGGATGGCGCGTGGAGACGAAGACGACGCCCATCTTGGGCAAGGAGCGGCTCGACGCGCTCGAGGCGTCGCTCGGGACGTCGCACCTCCCGGAGATGGTGTTCGGCAGCCGTCTCGACCTGACGCACGAGGCGAGCGGGACGACGATCCACTTCAACGCGGAGTGCGCGCTGAGGGAGTGGCTGGAGGAAGGGCTGCCGCCGCTGAAGGTGGCCGCCGCCGCGGTGTGGGCGCGCGGGCACGAGCGGCGGTTCGGCGGCGGCATGCCGGGCGCGCGATCAGCCGCGGATCGATTCGCCGTCGAAAAAACGGAGAAGAAGAAGAAGCCGATCCCGGGCGGCGCGGCGTGGGACGAGCGCGAGGACGCGGAAGCGTACGACTGGACGTTCACGACGCCGTACCGCGGTTCGCTGATGACACGAGCGGATGGTGGCGCGCCGTCCGCGAGTGGGTGGACGCCCACGGAGCTGCGCGTCGACCGAGGGATGCTCATGGAGCGCGACCCGATCTTGTTCTTCGACGAGCTCACGCTGTACGAGAGCGAGCTCGACGACAACGGCGAGATGTCCGTGACGCTGAAAGTCCGCGTGATGCCCAAGTGCTGGTACGTGCTTCTCAGGCACTGGATGCGTGTGGACGGCGTGCTGTTGCGCCTGAGGGAGACGCGGCTGTTTCACAAGATGGTCGGCGCGGAGGGCGCGGCTGGCGCGGCGGGTACAGCTGTCGTCGTCGTGCGAGAGAGCGCGCGACGGGAGGAGACTTTCGAGGGGCTTCGCGCGCGCGGGGCGCCGTGCGAGCCGGGGCAGTACCCGAACGCGGAGGAGGCCGCGAGCGTGTTGTTAGCCGCGGGCGGACCCGTCGCGATGGAACACCACGCGTTGACGTTGTGACGACGCGGCGAGCTCCCTTAGACTACGTATGTATTGACCGCAATCTGTCTGGTTCATCACGTGCTGACTCGCGACGCGGCACCACGAAATCTCGACGAGCGCGTTCTCAGACGACGCCCGCGCGCGCGATGGGAGCCGCGGGGGACGACGCCGCGGAGGCCTCCACGCCGGACCGCGCGGAGATGCAAGAGATGCAGCGTCGTCTCAGCGTCGCGTCGCTCAGGCGCGTGAGCACGACGAAGAAGGCGGGGAACATGTTCAAGAAGGGGCTCGCCGGGGGGGCCAATCCAATGTCGTCCACCATCGCGCAGCTCGCGCCGTCGAGGGACCCGAACTTCAACCCGACCGCGCGATGGCGGAAGCTCGCCAAGGTCGTGGGCAAGGCCGCGGCGATATCGCGGCAGTGGATGTCCGACGCGAAGGAGCAGTCGCAGTCGAGGATACACATCCTGTCGAAACGGTGCGCGGCATCTCCGCCCCTCGCCGTTCGATTCCGTTTCCCGATTCGTCCGCGCTCATCGTCCGAGAGTGCTCCGAACGAACGAACGACCGACGCGCCCTCTCCCTCCTCCTCCTTCTCCCTCCCTCCCCCCATCCCCCCCTCTGATAGAGCGGAAGATCGCACGGAGATGGACCTCATGGTCCTCGAGCGGTTGTTCCACAGGATGAAGTTCGTGAAGACGCTCCCGACGAAGCAACGATTGGAGCTGGGGCGGGGGATGCAGTACTTGGCCGCCGACGCGGGACGCGAGATCTTTCGCCAAGGCGACGTCGGGAACCACTTCTACGTCATCCTCAGCGGCAGCGTCGAGGTTCTGATACGCGACCCGCACACGAACGCGAACAACCGCGTCGCGACGTTATACACCGGGGACTCGTTCGGCGAGCTCGCGCTGTTAGAGGAAGGGAACGTTCGCGCCGCCGGCATCGTCGCGAGAGAAGACTCGGAATTTCTCACGCTCGGGCGAGAGCTGTACAACGAGATCCTGCGGACGGAGTCCCAGAAATCCATCAAGGCGAAGATCGACTTCATGTCCGCGCTGCCCCTATTCTCGGAAGTCCCGTCGTCGATGAAGCAGTCGCTCGCGTACGTCCTGCACGAGAAGGACTACCCGCGGAACGCGGTCATCGTCAAACAGGGCGCCATGGTGGACGACAACTTCTTCGTGAAGGAGGGCGCCGTCCGCGTCGTTCGCGAGGTTCGAGACCGGCGTCTGCTTCGCGAGAAGCGCGTGACGCACGACGGCCCGGGGCGCGTTCTTCGTCGCGCGAGAGACCGAGGGATGAACGACGCGCCGCCGGAGCCGCCCGGAATGATCGCCGCCGAGGACGCGGGTGGGCTCGTGAACGAATTCGAGCACCTGAGAGGGAGCACGCCGCCGGCGGAGAAGGAACGCGGGGACGGCCTCGTGTCGACGTACGTGCAGAAGCCCACGGAGTTGGACCCCGGAGCT